TAATTAATTCAAGTGAATCTGGACGAACGAGATGGCATTTTGGAATCAGGAAGCCATCCGCATTCAGATGATGCCTCTGGATTAGTTAGCTAAAAAACATCGGCATAGTTCCCCTTTAAAGGCGCCCAGGAGGTTTCTGAGATTGCCTAAATATTGTCACGAATGACAGATGATGAGGCGGTGAACATCTGAAGAAACTGGGTTCATATGAAAGCGAGGAGCCGCGTGCGCCACAATATATTATATTTACATATTTACAAAAAAAAAAGGAAATAAATGTGAAGGTTGTTCGTTGGTAGGTATGGCCAAAAACTGGCTCACTCTCGTACTCTCTTCGCACGCCTCTCGCGCATCCCTGCGTCCTTCTCTTCTTCCTTGTGACTGTAGTTCCTACAAAACTAAATGTTTAATGGAGCGAACTTGTGCCCAAAACAAAATAGAGAAAGGCTAGCATCGCAGGCATCCATGTCGGCGAAACAGCGGGACCGAGCGCTGGGGCGAGACTGCCTGTGGCTCAGCATGCAAAGCCCCTTATATACACTCATGGTATTCTGGAAGAATCAGCGTAGAAGGTTCGGCGTGTAGAACATTCGGACCTCGAACAAGCAACAGGATTCTCGAATTTACCAGAACACTAAATTGCAAAAATAAATAAAAGACGCGTCACTCCCAGGAATCGAATGCCGGCTTTTCACGTGAGAGGCAAGCACGATAACCGTTAGGCAACGACCGCGCTGCCTAATTGGCCAGCCGCGCACGTGGCATTATGATGGTAACTTACTTTGCAGGCTCTAAGCATTTTAGAAATCCATAGATCATAACGATGAGCAACCGATTTCCCCATTAAAAAAGCAATCAAAGAACAAACACATTGAGGTCATCTCTGGCGATGGGAGGAGCATTGTTACGACAGCCAGAACGACATGTAACCAATGAAAACGCAAAATATTGTTGAGATTGCTAACTTTGTTATTACAATATGTGTGCCTTTGTACATGATAAAGGCAAATAAGAGTAGTATGTAGTCAAAAAATGTTTATTTTTCGCAAAGAGGGAACATAATACTACAATAATCGTCTCGAAAACAATACACTATGTTTTTTGGGGGGTTTCTTTTTTTTTTTTTTTTTTGACTTCTGCGGGAGTGATGTGGTCGCCCGTGAGCTCTCAAGTGCACGCTCGCTGGGTTGAATCGTAGTCTGGGCTCTATGGGCAACGAGTTGCACGCGCTCGAAATATCGCTCAGCGGTTCCAGCGGTCAAAGGTGCGAGGATCTTTCACTTGCTATTGGCTGACAGTGGTCCTGGTTTAGGAACATTTTCCTCCCATCGCCAGAGAAGACCTCGGTGTGTTGCGATCTTTGATCGCTTTTTTAATATGGAAATTGGCCGTGTATCGTCATGATTTAGGGATTTCTAAGATGCTCAGAGCCAGCAGAGCACTTCTTATTTAGGCAATCTAAGAAACCTCCTCAGGGTACCTTTAAAGTTCTCAAAAATGCCTCTGCCAATTACATCACCAAAAAAAGAAGCGAGGAGGGGCTCAAATTGGAGGAGGAGGACACAAACTTAAATTTTAACTCTTTCACATGCCAGAACTTTTTTTTATACGATTTATTTTTTGTGTGTTTCACACTGTGTTTCTTTTAAGCGTTCGAGACGGTAAAAAAAATATTAATCTTGGGCTTGTCAGTGGCCCTCTAAGCTCCAGTGGAAATTTTTATGTATCTCTGCCAATAATCAAAGGTTGTGACAAACAGGAGCTTACCAATTGGCACATCCAAGAACTGCTAAATATAGTAATGGCGGCTATAAGACCGATGCAAAAGAGTGCCTTATACACTGATTGTGTTAAATAATTTGTCAGCGAGAATAAAACAACTATTCTGTGGCCACTTTGCTTTATCCAATATTCACTGGCATCCTCGAAAAGAACTGTAGCACCCCCGATTACCCCTGAAGCAATGCATAAAAGTTTATATAAAAAAATTAAAAAAAAAACACTGTATAGGAAAATGAAGGGATAGTATTCTGAAAGATTGTGTTAAATGTACTTGTACTACACTGTATTTTAGTACTTTACTTCAAGTGCATTGCACCAGATTTACTTCCTACTTTGCACCAAGTACATAACCCCCCCTTTACTTTGTACTTTGCTTCAAGTATTTTTTTTTTTTTTGCTGTGCTTTGCCCAGCACTGGCTAAATACAGTTGAATCCTGTTAAAGCGTAGTTGGCACAAACCGTGGGTGCCGCTCTCGCAAACATCTCGCCACGGCCAGGCGTGCGCGTTGCTGCAAGTTGAACAGCACGGGCTGGAGAACAGAAAATAAATATAAATTTAAAAATAAAAAAGCTGAAGTTCAAAGAAAGAGCAGGACATATAAAAAAAGAAACTCTGTCGCTTAATTTATAGAAAAAATGTATACAAGCTTGATCACGCTGACAAAGACTGGTAATCGCAGAATGTATGATAGGCCTTCTGAGAAAAAAGAGAGACAGCATCTCAAGAGCACCGCCTACTGATGATTCGCCCTCATTTCCGACACACACCGTGAGGTGGCGCTGCATGACTGGAAAGGCTGCAAAAGCGCACAAGCTCACTCGCGCGCCGAGTGAGTGAGCTTGCACTTTCGTGGTCCGTACCACCGAGCCTGCATAGCTCAGTCGGCAAGGTACTTGGCTCACAATCTCAGGCTGGCAAGTTCACATCCCGCCGGGGGACTGAAGTCTCTATAGCCGCGTTTACATGAATGCAACTTAGTCGCATCGAATCCAGTTTTCGCATTGAATGCGGTCATGTAAATGGCATAATGCACAAAGAAAGCGCATCGCATTCAAGCCGCCAGACAGAGGTGGATCGAGATGGCGAGTGCGCATTCATTCAGCCCATGTAAACGGAGGTTGCAACGCATTTTGGAATGGGGAGGATTATGGGAAGGCGCTCGCTGCGGGAGCGAGTGAACAGCTGAGAACATGGCGGCGGCCAACCTCGTCAACGGCGCAGAGAGCGGTCCCGTATGGTCGCCCGCAATTTTTTATTGAGAACAAACCCAAGCTTTTATTGCCATCATAAGTAAGCGGAATACAGTAAAACCTCGTTATAAAGAAGTTGAAGGAGCGGTCATAATTATTTCGTTATAACCATTAGTTTGTTATAGCCAATGTCCATTTCTTCCAACTATTCAAGCAAGGGGAATTATGATTGCTTTGTTATATCCATTAGTTTGTTATATCCCATTTTGTTATAACGAGGTTTTACTGTATAGCGGAGCGGCTCAGTGAGGGCGGCCTTGGTCCAAGCCTTGCGAAGCACGACTTGCGCGTCCGAAAGGGTCCCAAAGGCTTCGGCGCAAGCACGAACAACATCGAGAGCTCCGAGCACTGTAGAGCACTGCATGGTAGCGCAGAACAAGCCGCTCCTACCTCGGTGCTGTTCCTGGCTGCGCAGGAGCCTTTCGGACTCGGGGTCCGGTTGGGCCGGTCGCGATCGGCAAGGTCTGGCGCGGCAAAGCGCGGAGGTCTCCTCAAAGCGTGTGCACACACATCGCCTCTGGTCCAGAGTGACCCGGCGGCCCAGCCTGGAGCCCTAAACGCTTGGGTTTTTATGTTCCTTCCGTCTCGTAACTTCTTCCACAGCACCGAAGACAGCGGGCACGATCTTTACGTTCACTGAATGCGTCGAAAGGCCTCCACGTGCGATGCACCGGAAAACGTGGTGCGGCTGGTTCCGGAACTGCATGACATCAAGCTTTGACACGGCCTGCCGCCACCTTCGTGTAGGGCTTGGTGCGCATTCATGTAAACGTTGCCGCGTCGGCTTCGTTCGAAGAACAAGTGGAGTCGAAGCACTGAAGTCGCTTTCATGTAAACGAGGCTTATATGCACCAAAAAACTGAGGGAGAAGGGGAGACAAGAGCGTGCGGGGACATCGAAACGCTGAGCTCTGGGTGGTATGATCAGTGGGTAGACTTAAAGCCAGCTACCTTTTTCCACTGGACTCGTCGAGCGCGTTCGAATGTGAAAGCCGAATGCCGGACGCCAGCATTCCGCGTTCTAGCGCGTTCGACGAGCGCAGCAAAGACAAAGCCCAGCTAGTTTTAGGTCTATCCACCAATCATACTAACCAAAGCTTGGCGTTCCGACGTCCCTTCGTGTTCTTGGTTCCTCCTCTCCTTACATCCTCAGCGCATGTGGTTCCCATGGGCATACTGCTTTTCGGTGCCGGTTTCTCGTTACAGCCGGCACTTACAGCCAAACGTTACAGAACTCCACGGAGATCAGCTGATAAAATGCATTTTGTGTTAAAACTTAAAAGTCAAACAAGAAAAAACAACAGCATAAGATCACGGTAAAAAAAAAAGGCAAAAGGAGACATAACAAAAGCAGCTGAAGAAAAAGATAAACAAAGATAAACAAGGCGTTCAAATACTTAAAATTTGGGCTAGTTGGTGAAGCATGTTTACAGGTAAAACAGCGCGAACAGGGACACAGTACAGAGAAGATGTACACAGACGTAGCGCTGCGTCTCTGTACATCTTCTCTGTTCTGTGTCCCCCCCGTTCGCGCTGTTTTACCCATAAAAAAGGCATTCAAAGCACTTCGACCTAAAAGTTCCTCCATTTTTTCACACCGCAGTCTCGAGGGTTACATTATGATCAATTATCACCAGCTCACCCGCACACTCCGCACTACTTCATTAATCATCTCTGAAGCAGGCTTATTTCCTTTCTCCTACGGCTTCGTGGTTCTGTTGACACCGACCACCCTTCTCCATCGAGCATACACAGCTCTGGACAACCTCGGAAGACGTTTGGCCAGAGTTGGAGGCCGAGGTCACTTTCTGGTGTTCAGAGCGCTACGCGAGTCCGGAACTCTTCAGACATCTGTCATTGGGTCATCCCATTGCTGTGTGTAACCGTTGGCTCGCGCCGCTTCTATACTTTTACACTGAGTTTTTCAGAGGACTTTTTGACTGTCCAAAATATTTCACTTAAAATACCTTGTGCTCGGGAAGGGAAGAGAACCTGGTGGCGGGCAGCACCACGTTGTCCCTGTCGAAGTTGAAGGAGCCGTCCTTGTGCTGCATGAAGAGCTTGCCACTGCCGTGGCCCAAGAGCTCGTGCAGACCCACTTGCACCTCAAAAGAGCCGTTCTTGTACTTGTTGAAGATCTCCTGCGGGGCCGAGGCAGTCGAGCTGACAAGTTCTGGCAACACTGGCAATACCAAGGATTAAAGTAACGCACTTTACAGTGGGGGTTCCCAAACGCACTCTACAGTGGGGGTTCCCAAACTTTTTAATCTTGAGCGAAGCCCAACTCTCTCGAATGGCAGCCGAGAAACCCGTCCCATTCCTGGCATTGACGCGGCAGAAGCCTACGAACCTTGTAAGCGATGAAGCGCATATTGGGGAATGTTTGCAACATATAGTTATGCGTCAATGGGTGGCTCGAATCTTTCAAAATACTGCTTAAACTGAAAGAACACTTCGCTCGGGGGCAGGGATGGTCGAGAAAACACCAAAGGCTTTTGTGGGAGCCCCAGAGTTCCTGGGAACACAGTAAGAGAAACCATGCTTTACAGGGCATGTCGTCGCATTGCAGCGAGGGCGACGACCGTTATTTTTCCCCAGTCGATTTTCATGTTCAAAATTATTTCGTCGGATGCGCGAGAAAAATGGTGATCAAAAAATAAGGGTAACTATTTTAATATGCGTAGCAAAGCAAAGGAAGAAAAAAAAATCCAAAGTGAGTTCACTGGCAAAACAGTTCCTTTCAACCAGTGGTGCAGTAATACAAACAAGACGGATGGAGCGTGGCCGGCGAGAAATCGAAGGCTCTGATTTGTCGGGCAGAGTTAGAGACAGTGACAGACGGACAATTGTGTCAGAAAGGGATTGGGGCATTCTCTTTTCTCCCCCAACCAGTACTAAACCGGTGGCTTGAAAACATGTGCGGAAAAGAAGAATGCTCCGACAAAACCAAGTAAAAGAAACTCGCTACTTTCGGTTACTCTTGAATCAGAATGACCAAATGTGATGCACTTACGCAACATAAAATGTTAATTTGGACAGAAAAAAAAAATAATTGCAATATTTTAGGTACGTAGTTTTAGACCTTACTCATCCTAACCATAAAAGTAACTGAAGAAAAAAAAAAGGGTGATTGTGATGATGTGAATTGCTCTTGCTAATTTCTATACACCTCTTGACATAGCAGCATAGGTGCATCAAACCCAACCTTTTTATCACACATTACTGCAACAATAAATTCAAAATCTGAAAAAAAAAAAAGTGTTTAAAACAATTATTTATTTGGCCTATGAACTCATCTACTGAATTTGAAGGGTGTTTCAAAAGGCTTGCAAGATATTCTGAGAATATGCATGAAAATGTCTACAATATCTGTTTTCACACACACAAAAAAAAAAAGTATATAACACACTGTGGTAAATTAGAAAAAAAAAATGGAAACATGCAAAACCACATACATCATCTTCTGGAGAGAGGAAGTTGGCTTTGGAAGACTTGTCATCTGCGTTGATCACATTTCCGAGGGACACATTCTTGAATCCCTCGTTCTGGCGGATGCTGTCATCTAAAATGAAAACCAACATCCAGCCAACAATCCGTCACTTGTATCACACAGCAACATTTCCTTCACAAGTCCTAAAGGGGCATTAAGGAGAATTTTGAGATTGTCTTTTTATGGCACAAACTCACTACGCACCCAAAGCATCATATAAAATTTAAAATTACAAACAATCATGCGTGGGGCCTACAGGCAGCAAACCACATACAAGAGAACCTAGTTGATACATTTCCGGTTTTTACGTTTTCCCGGCTTTTACATCAAAACCCGCCAAGCTCCCGACTTTCCAAAAGCCTTCTCGTTCTTTATTTCTTCGCGGATTATATGTTTTCTTACCACAGTCCCATGGAAACATATAAATAAGGTTCTGCTGTAGTAATATATTAAATAGTTATGGTTTAATCACGTTTTTTTTAATAATCCAGTGGTCTGGCAACAGTCCTGAAGATTGAAACTTGAGGGAGCCGAGGATGAAAGACGAGGCAAAGGGCACCTGACAGGCGGTCGGCGGAAAAGACACGAGCTGGTGCGAGACAGTGCGTGCGGAGCGAGGCTGAAGCTGGACAAGAACGTCAGAGCCGAGCTGCCTGGCCTGGCCCATGGCAAAGCCCGGAGCGGTCCACCAGCGAGGTCTGGAGCAAGACCGGTGGAAACGGCGAGCCCTGGCCATATGACCTGGGCTACGACGATCCCGGGGTGGTTCTGCAGCGAGACTCGGGCATTGATACCCCGGGACAACCAGCCTACGCGGCGCTGGCGTGGGAAAGGCGATCCGCAGGCCTGGACACGGACTGCGACTGTGAGCTCTGATCGACGGGTGACAACAAGGGTCGGCGTGCCCGGACCGTCGACTCTTGACGACGGGCAACCGAGGTACAGTAAACCCATTCGCTGTCTTCTCTCGTTGTGTGATGTCACTGCCTGTCACTCCCTGGGTGACGGGCGGAGTGCATACCGATCGAGCGGCAATTATTAGTAGAGGAACCTCCGTAAAGAAACCCCACAAACTACAGCATCATCTAGTGAAAATGCGTCCAAATAGTTGACAAGAAAAAAAGTGCACGGCAGCAAATTGATGGTCGAGGCAAATTTGCAGAAACCACAGGGGTGATTATCTATGAATATGATAGTATTTATTGTTGCACACCGCCAAATTTAGCGGGGAAACAGAACTGGTGCATAAGTCGTGACACCAATTTTTCCACTAAAATTCGCAGAAAAGCTTTTTGCCAAATTTAGCGCCGAAAAAAAAAAAAAATTCTTGTCGTCCTTATGATTACCTAAGAGGTTGTCCCTGAGGTCGTCTAGGATGACGTCAAGACGACATCTAGAATGACCTCTAAGACGACCTCTAGGACGACGTCCTAGAAGACAATGCAAAGACGACATCTAGGGCAACCTCTAGGGTGACCTCAAGGACAACCTCTAGGACAACCTCAAGGATGACCTCTAGGACAACCTCTAGAACCACACGGATGACGTCCTACGTCGAAGACAACCTCTAGGAGGACCTCAAGGACGACTTCTAAAACGACGTCAAGGTTGTCAGGTCCTTCAAAGAGGGCGCAAATGTGAAGGAGTGAGTACTGTCGCTCCTCATATGTGCAGTGCAATGGGATACAGGCACAGTGAGCTGAAATGGTCTACTGCACATTAGGAAGCCAGAATATACATAGCTGAAAATCTTGAGTACAGTTGAACCTCGATTTAACGAAGTCACCGGGATCCGCTAATTATTTCGTTAAATCGGGAACTTTGTAAAATCGAGGAAGGGAGACATCGCGCATAGGCTGCGCGGGGAATCCGAATTTGTTCGTTACATCAGGAAATTCGTAAAATTGGGTTTCGTTAAATCAAGGTTCAACTGTAGTAGCTTAATAATGCTATCGCATTAATAAGTTTGGAACGCAAAATACGCAGCAACCAAGAACGGTGGAACAGAGAAACATATGGATAAGTGTTTTTCTCTTGCCACTAGCATTTTTGACAGGTGACTGTTTTACTTGAGGCTATCGTATGCACAGGCATTGACATTTTATAGTGATCCATAGAAGTTACGCAGGGGAGCCACCTTCAGACTTCTGCCTGATGTTGCCAGCACTCAACAAAGCTATAACTTGCAAGCATACCTTACGACTTTTTTTATTTCAGCTCTGTTCTTTCATTTGATCTTGTTAAACATTGACATCTTAAAAGGTAAATGTTTTAAGCAAACTTTTTATATCTCGTCAATAATAAGTTAAAAACTCAACCAAACACAGCAGCACATTCCTTTCCTAAGAGATCTAAAAAAAAAAAGGGGGCATGTCGCGGCGTTCGGTTGCATTTCTAGGAATGAGAAAGGCCACAGGTGATTGTAATTTTGGACTTTATAGGATGCCTAAGGTGTGTAGATTTGAGTTTGTGCCATAAAAAAACAATCTCGAAATCCACTTCAGCGGTCCTTTAATAAGCATCCTAGCACTTTTATAAATGATTCAAAAGACAGTAGCAACATATCTGCTAAAAAAATAAAGTTGACATTTCCATTAAGATATTTCCTGGTTATAATCATCCCCTAACCTTTCAGTTCCAATAGGCCGCGCTGATGCAAATAAAGAGAATCTCTAAAAAAAGATGATTGTTCAAATCAAAGTCAACTTCTCAAAGTCAAGGTTCAAAATATAACAAATTTGCAGCAGTACTTTGGACATACCCGACAAAACTTGTGCGCAGAGTATGCTCCTTGGTTTGTAAATCTCGATGCAATCATTTACGCACAAAAACTTGCACCGCAACTTTCAACAAGAACGGCATTGGTCGTCGCTACAATCGCTTATGCCAGGCAACGAGAGCAAAGCCGTTCTGATGACCACTGAGGTTCAAAATGCACCACAACGAAGAAATCCGCTGAGTTCGGCGGACGAGTCTTTGCCCGCGAAATTCTGTATACAGCGATCGTGTCATATGACGCTGTAAAGTGACACCGACGAAAACAAATCTAAATTTAGTGATTGAGTGAGCGACGCTTTTTCTTAAAGCGATGCCGAAAGTGCCTCCCGTAACATCCCTAGTCACCGCCCACCCCACTTTTTGGGCCAATATCGGTTTCCAAAAAAAAAAAAAACACAGTCATCGCCCACCCCAAATACTCCTACGCGGACTCCGCGATTCACGAACATTCATCCTACTCGAATGACGCGGCCACGGACTTTACAGTTGGAGGACGTCAGTGACGAAGTAAAACGAAGAAGAGAAAAACATTTCCATTTGTTTACGCAATTCCTTCGATTTACGTGACCCTGAAATCGTAGTACATGCGTGCAAGAGGAAAACGAAGGAGATAACAAAATAAAACTTTATTTCGCTCACAAGAAAATTCATTCGCAAAAAAAAAAAAAAAAGGCAGGAAGATAACACAAGCAGTAACCCATTCAGGGATCGCGAGTTCAGCGAACGCCCGATGTCCTCGAATGTAACCGTGAAGTGTAAATTCAAAGTCCGTCTCTACCGAAGTAAGGTCACCGCAAACCCGCTCCTTCTCCCGGAGCGCCGCGACCGCGGCTAGTAAGGTTGAGCAATGTTTAAGACAAAGTCAACGGGTATATAAAGATTTGCTGGAACACTACACACAGACGTTTGTAGAGCGTCCCATTTCAAGCTTTGTGTCCGTGGTGTTGTGAAATGCAGCAACACCGCCTCAACCTGCGTTGATAGCACGCCGTGAACGGATGCATGCATGTGTGCACCAAACAAGAAAGTGGCACAAGAGCCTCCTCCTTGCGATTGACAAGGCGCCCGACTTGACCCGACGCCAAAGTCTCACAATCGCCAGCTTTCCCGCTTCCCCAGCATCGCTCTTCATCGCTTTTTTCGTCCACTCGCTCGCTCGTTGCGCCTGGTTGGTTTTTCTATTTTCTAGTTTACTTTTTTTTAATTGTTTTAGCGAAGAGCGAAGAGAACATAGCGGTGTGAGAAACGTGCTTTCGCTGTACAAACGTTTGCGCTGGTATGCCGATCGGCGGTGTTTATTGCGCGTAGGCTAGAAACGAAGTTTGCGATAGTAAAATGTTCTTTCGTGAGCATTTCTTGCATTAAACAATGTAACTAATTCGAGTTTTGAGTTTAACGTATCTCTTGTGCAATACAAAAAAGAAAAATTTTTTTTTAGCATTTTGTAAACTTTATGTGCTTTACCACCGAGACATGGCCCACCCCAATACTATTCTTATGAATTTCAGGCGTAAGGGATGTGGGCGATGACTCGGGATATTACGGTAGCCCTCCCCCGTATGATATTCTACTTTGTTAAAAACATGTCTTGGTCCCTGGTCCCGACTTTAACTGCAAGACTTGCAAAACCCCGGCTACTTGTAAACATCTAATATGGGACTGCGAAGCAAACGAATAACTAAGACAAGACGCACTCCTCAGCATTCCAGAAGATGCACGACCTCAAACATACGAAGAGTGGGCAACCCCCCTTAAAGAAAACGCAAACAGAATCCAGATCCTCGACTCTTTACTCACCTGCAGTGAACTTCACACACCTCATCTAACCTCCCTTTCTTCCTCACCCCTCCATCTCTCCCTAATCATCCCGTCACACCAGATGACTTCAGTCAAGAGGTGTGGTGGAACCCAATCATTTTAATAAACATTTTCTGATCTGATCTGAGTCTATGCATCAACCATGCTCTGGTGACGCCTTTTTTTTTTCACAAACTGTTTTAACGAGTTAGAGGATGAAGGGTGCTCCCGTGTCTTCCGTAAGGCAGGTCTGGACCTGCAAAAGCCCGTAATCGCACGTATGGTGTCTGGAACGCATCTCCGACACGGGTGTGTACCGTGCTTGCACCATTCTAATGCGCACTTTCTAGCGCACACCAGCTCGGAGCACGTGGAACGAAAGCTCGCGCTGCAAAACCCAGGATCCTGGTTTCAATCCCCACTCCTGCCCGTTTCGATCTGGATGAGCATCGTACCGGCGTGCGGTCGTGCATCGCTACTGCGTGATGCACGTTAAAGACCCTGGGCTAGAGGTTGTACTGCACTGGCTATATTTCTCATCTACAGCTGGGAGACTCGTCACCTGTTGAGGCAGACCAAGTTCTAGGCTATATAAACGTACACACAACCCAATTATTAACGCACACTTTTTTCGCCAAGATGGGTGTCCAAGAATACATGCGCGTTACGCCAAAACCAAAAAACAGGAGTTGAGTCAGCTCTCCTTTTCACCCAATAGCGTCTCTTGGTTCTCCTCGCTGGGGGCGTGTCCCTCCACACTTCCGGCTTCAGCTCTGGTGGCATTCATGTTGCCTCCAGACGCTTCCTACCTCCGTGGTCTACTGCGTCCTCAAACGCGGCCCCTCGCTTTCCAACGGCCAGGAGTGGGGATGCAAGCAAGGATGCTACGACAACGGTGACCCTCGCACCACCCAGTCTTTGTCGTCGGCGTTAATACGTCCAACCGTCGGGATCTTGCGATGCGCCGGCTCCTTCTATGCAATTTCTTGCCACTTCTAGACCAGCTTCTTTACACGCATGGGATGGGACGGTAAATGCGCCAGTCGAAGACTTACTCTTGGCACCGTACCTTGAGCGACGCCAATCCCGCACAAGCTCCCGTGCCACGGGCTCCCGTGGCAAGCCGCGTTCCACCGCGCTGCCGAACAGAGTCTGCCAATTTCCCCATTTGCTCTCGAGCGGACAATTAGTTTTTAGCGTTGGCTCCGTCGACAACCCGACACGGCGAGTTTGACTAAGACGTAGTTGGGCTGTGGGAACCCACGCTCACTACGCATTTATCCCTTTCGGAGTCGACCCAGCGCGTCGGCCGGGGTCGTTTTGCTCGCCGAAGGGGTCGACCTTTCAGGAGCCAACGCGTCCACTCTCCTAACGAAGACCGGACGACGCTTCTTTATGTCGTCGATTACTCTGGGGACGCAGTCAACCGTGACGCGAAAGAACTCGAGCGAGCTGGAAATCGCCGCCTCCTTGCGTGGAAAGACGCGGGGCAAAAGTTTGTCGACATGTTGATCCGGCGGGACTACGAGCCAGAAGTATGATGCGTGATGGCGCCTCATACCACGTTTGGCAACTCCGGCCCCTCTGCACACCCCGAAAGGAGGGAAGGAGGGGGCTCACAGTTTGGGATGTTGATGCCCGCGGGGATGCCACTGCCAGCGAAGGCCACCACGTCGAGGGAGGTGAAGTCTGGCCGGAGGAACTGGTCCTTCTCGAAAGGCTGGGCCCAGGGCAGCAGCCGCAGCAGGGACTCGGCCCGTTCCACCAGGGCACCAAACTTCTCGCTCTGCGGGCGGTTCACCGTGGCCACGAACCCTGCGTGTGCCACATGGTACTGTCTTTGGGAGACTGCTATCCAGGACAGTAAACTTTTGAGTAACCAATTTTAAACGAACGATATAGACCCCTTTCAAAAGAGTGCGTCACTTACTAGTTGCTGCGCATAATTATCCGAGTAGGCCGTCGTTTGAGCACATACAGTGAGTATAGAAGCGACACAAGGACTGCGTTGGCATTTGGCTCGCGTCAAAAAGGAGCACTACGTCGGTGCTCGGCGACGACTTATATCTAGTCGCGCGCTTCACGCCCAAGGAAGGATAACCGCCAATGTTGCCTGATGGGGTTTTGAAAAGGGCCTATTACTAATGCGCCAGTTCCAAGAGAGGATATGAAGCCTGGTCTTATGGCTCCCATAAATAAACTATGAATTGCAGAAGGCCAGAACCGCATCGGAATACAACTCTAACGGAGGGGATGCGATGCGAAAGTCTGAGAACACAATGTTATATTTGGATCGAAAGATAAAAATGAAAGAAGAAATGTCTCCACAAGTCGACAGCTTCTTGGGCCTAGTGTTCGTCGAACCGAGATATGATGTTGCGGGTGCCGGTGGAATTCATTTCAGTGAAAAAGCTTGTCAGTAAGAAATAAGAGCCGTAGCCAACATCTCACCAAGTAACTACCGTATTTATTCGAATATAGGTCGACCTTTTTTTTTCGGAAATGTTGTCAAAAATTAAGGGTCGACCTATAATCGTGATCAAAAAATTTCGACCTAATTCGCGACCAAAATTTGAAACCCTACGGAGGGTATGGAGCTATCAATCACCTAGCCGGCGTCGCGGTAGAGCCGCGCGGCTTCTTGTTTCAAAAAGCTTTTGATGCACAAAAACAACCGAACAGCAGCAGCCGACAGCCCGTGGCCGCCGGCTACGGCTCTTGCGCACATTCCTCGGGCGTCGGGTTGCGCCATCACGCCTGTAGCGTTCCCCTCGCTGGGCAGGGGGAAGGGGAGGGAGAGGAACGCGATGCGCCATGCACTTTGCCCTCCTATGCGCTCCATTCCTCTCTCCCTTGCAAACGCGCGCAAAAAAAAAAAAAAAAAAAAAAAAAACGGAAGTACTTTAGTGTTTTTTTTTTCGGCGGGTCGCATATTGCTCACGGGGCTCGCAGCGTTGCTCGTATCTTTCTTTGTATTTGGTCTTTCGTCACTCGCCCGTCTCCACCTTCTTTCGTTTCTTGTCGTCATTTTACAACGGTGTCAGTGAGGTATCGTTGCCAATTTGCGAGGATGTCTACCAAGCTGACGAAGCTTCGGACGGCGATATGTCCGGAAGTTCTGACGATGAATAAGTTTTTGACATCGCCCTGTGATTTAGCTGAGAGTGCTGTAAATAAAGGTTTGTTTCTTTTGCACTAACTTTCCCCTGTTCCTTAAGAAAAAGAAAGGTCGACCTATATTTGAATTATTTTTTTTTATTCTCGGTGGGCTCAATAAATAGGGGTCGACCTATTTTCGTGGTCGACCTATTTTCGGGTAAATACGGTAAGTCTTTTAGTTAGTATCTTTGCAAAACGTCCACCTGCTTCGCTCCCTCTCGGCCCTGCGAACTACCGTAGCGTGCCTTCTGTTCTTCCTCGAATAAGCCTGATCGAATCGATATTTTTACGACTGAGAAATAGCCCTGCACCGAGCCTCCCTCATGGCACTCGACACGTAGCATATCTGTGATTGTTTGCTTGATGCAGAAAGGGGTGAACAATAAATAATTTGTTCTTAAGGGTCCTAACAAAGACCAAGTTACTTTCGTTAATATATTCTTGGTTTATACTATTTTTCGGCTGTCAAGTCCACTAATGCTGGTTCCATCGAACTTCCATGAAAAGGTGTGTATCAATTTCCTGTTCGTTGCGTTTGCTTTCCCGCTTCTTATGTTCAAACACCGCCACTCGACGCGGCTAATGCAACCCAAAAATACAGCCCTAGGACAAGTTGCGTTTTCCCAAACTTGCCAAGAGCATAGCACTCACCTTCGAACTCTCCTCGCATGCCTGCGGGATCTCTGTATGTCTCGATGAAGCCAATGTACCTGTAACAAACATGACCAAACGTTACAGTAGGCTCTCGGCAATTCAAAGCTGCTTTAGTGGAATTTTCTATTAATGTGGTCCCAATAACTGTGTATAATAAAACATTAAAAAAAAGTCTGGCAATCTGCTGGGCAATTGTGTTGCATATGTAAAACAATCAAGTATCAATTTCTCCCGTTAAATTTAGCAGAGAAACTGAATTGGTGAGTAGGATAAGTTACGCTAATTTTTCCGCTAAATTTGGTAGAGAAACTAAATTGCTGTATAGGTCACATTCTATTAGGTCACGTGACGTCAATTTCTCCGGTAACTTTAGTAGAAAAGTGAATCGGTGTATGGGTCACAAGACGTTAATTTTCCCACTAAATTTAGCAGGGAAATTGATGTCACATGACCTATACTCAATTCAACTTCCCCGCTAAAATCAGCGGAGGAACTGAATTGGTGTGTAGGTCTGTGACGTCCCATAACGCAACACTGCGTGCATTGCATTGTGGGACGTAACAGGCCACGGCTTCACGAAATGCTGCTTTACAAAACCCGGACCAACTAGCCAAAAAATGTTTCACATTAAAATACACAAATACTTAATTATCTACACTCTACACATATGCTAAAGCATCTTGGCCATTTGGACTGTTAGGGCATTCCTAAATAAACATTTCATGCTTTGGTCGATAAAGTCTTTATTTTGTTTTATCTCTATAGTGAATTTTCTGCTCTCAGTCTGCTGTCTTTTGCCCAAGTCTAGCAGATTGCCTTGGTGCAGCCAAATGCTCCTAAGGAGTCTTTGCCATATCGCCTCAGCTGGGTGCTGGGTCCCACCAACATGCACGACCGTGCTTTTGCAGACTAGAAGAACGTTTGTGCACGAGTACTCAAAATAGACTTTGTCATTTTTGGTGTCCCATGCCCACACACAATACACGGCTTGCATGACGTCCTCGCACCACGCTAGTGGTCATCCCTTTTTGTTCTTGCCGAGAAAAACAAACTTGGTGGTGTAAACTGTATACTGCAAAAGGTACGGAATAAGCAGCAAGGCCACCACAATGCAGCCGATGCGACGTCAGTGCCCGCCAAGTGTAGGGGTGACAAAGCTTGGTCTGGGACCCAAACTTCGGTTTACAGCCCTAGTTTTGGCCAGAGGGCCTGCGAAGACTGGGAGGTGCACCGTGCAGGCGTGGCGGATTCGTCACGGTACTTACGACTCCACGCTGGGGCCCTTGTCCCTGGTCCAGAAGCGGGAGCCGTCCTTGTGCGCGTCCAAGGACCCCACCGTGAAGCTCTCAATGTACTTGCCCAGCATCTGGCGCTGGTTCTCATTGGCCGCACACTCCTGCGGGAAGAGAAGTGGCGTCTGACGCTCTTGCAGACAGCGGGCAGATTCCAGTCAGAAAAACGCAGTTGGGCACCCAGAAAGTGGGGCGAAGCTCTGGTGGTGCTTGTCTGCGTAGACGGTGAGCCGCAGCATGCCGAGCCTTTCGTTCGTTTTCATCCATGTCACGCTGCCGTCAAATGCTCAAATGCGTATATAACCACATTCCATACCACACATTCTCTTTCTGACATGGATGAAAACGAACGAAAGGCTCGGCATGCTGCGGCTCACCGTCTATGCAGACAAGCACCACCAGAGCTTCGCCCCAATCAACATCATTCACCACGTGGAGATGTGTTTTTTTTTTTTTTATTTTTTTTTTTGCCCTACACGAGCACGGGAGCACGTGCTCACGTGCTCGTGAGCACGAGCACCCAACGCCGGACATCGGACGGACATACGGACATGGCAAGCCCCTAAGGAGCTTCGCCCCTAATAGATTCCAAAATCGCAGGACAGATTGCCATTGAAACGCGATAGTGTGTTGCACCGTCCGGCACTGCGCAAATGTTTCTTTATTAAGCTGCTTAGAAACTGCCACGGAAATTTCGGGAATATTTTTCGGCGACATCCACGAGGTCTTCTATCGCGTTAAAAACAAATGCACTTAATTTTCCGACCTACCGTAATATCCCGAGTCATCGCCCACCCCCCTACCACCTGAAATTCATTAAAAAAGTGGGGTGGGCCATGTCTCGGTGGGTGAGCACAAACACTTGAAAAAAAGCGGAAAAAACCGCCTATTTTTCTCTGCGTATCTAGCGCTGATGCACAAGAAATACATCAAACTCAAAACTCGATTTAGGTTCATTGTTTTATAGAAAAAAATGCTCACAAAAGACTATTTTACTATAGCGAAGTCCGTTGCTTGCATACGCGCTAGAAACACCGCCGATCTGCATATAGCGCGAACGTTTGTTCCGTGAAAGAATGTCACCACTATGTTCTCCTAGTTAGTAAAAAAAAAAGAAAAAAAGGTCTACAAGAAAATAGAAAAACCGACCAGGCACAACGAGCGAGTGAGCGAGCGAGCGGACCAAAGAAGCGACCAAGAGCAATGCTGGGAAAGCCGGAAAGCCGGCGGTCGCGTTGGCAAATACTTTGGCGTCAGGCCAAGTCGGGCGCCTTGTCAATTGCAAGCTCTTGCGCAACTTTCTTGTTTGGTGCGTACATAGGTGTGTCCGTGCACGGCGGGCTATCAATGCAAGACTGGGACGCTCTGCAAACGTCTGTGTAGGGCGTTCCAGCAAAGCTTTATTTACGCGTTGGCTTTGCCTAAAATATTGCACAACCGCAGCCGCGACGGGCGGGAAGAAGGAGCGGGTTCGCGGTGACCTTACTTCGGCGGAGACAGACTTTGACCTAACACTCTGCGGTTACATTAACAAACTCTTATTTTGTTATCTCCATCGTTTTCTTTTCGCACGGATACACGACCACTTTGGGGTCGCTTACGGAGGTAAACAAAAAGAAGTGTCTTTCCCTCCTTCGTTTTACTTCGTCACGGACGTCCTCCAACTGTAAGGTCCGCGGCCGCGTCATTCGGGTAGGATGAGTGTTCGTGGATCGCAGAGTCCGCGCTGGGGTATTTGAAGGGGTGGGCGATGACTCGGTGTTTTTTCGGCAATCGATATTGGCCCAAAAAATGGGGTGGGCGATGGCTCGGGGATGGGCGATGACTCGGGATATTACGGTAAATGCCTACTTTCTGCGGACGGGCCTCCCACGACCAACCAGTGACTTTCGCCGTAGCATTACTAAGATTTAAATGTTTCGCTCTTACTATAGGTACATAAACATAATATCCACATAAACATATTAAGACCCCTTGGTAACTGCACATGCCATTCGGAAGCTAATACATTATGTCACATTCGTTGGGCACATTACACCCTGTACACATAAACAAAAAAGGTGTAAAACGGATGCCATTCATTGGTTACGGACCGAGCCACGGACGCGCAAGTGCGTAGGGTTCTTTCGCAAATGCTGCCGTATTTAAAACTCCGATTCCGTCTCAATAACGCAAAGCCTCCCTCCCAATTGCATGCACCCCTCCACCTCCATGTTCTCCCCTCCCATCACTCCTCCTCTCCAGAGAGTCGTCTAGCGTGAGCAGAGCCAATGCCTCCTAGTTAAGAAAGCCGTAGTGCTGAATTTTTTTAGTCAAATGGGGGACAGAGATTGAGTACTGATTTAACGCAACTCCCAGCTGAGCGCCGGTGCAGCACTTGCATCCAACCTGCGTGTTGTGGTAGTTTCCCGTAGGCGACACTGAAAATCCGCCGCTGCCACCTCGTCATCCAGGAGACGTCGGTAGAGCACGCACGAAGCTGTATCCTCTCTGAGCTCCTTCATACCCGTGCAGTTTGGGAGGAAGGAAAGCGAGAGGACGGCCCCGCAGAACATGAAGTTTGAGCGCCCGCCTTTCGAGGGTCACGGATAAGCCAAAGGGAACGTTTTTTTCAGCACCTAATTAAAATCTCCGTTAGTAGAAAAAGTATTATGAAACTAAGTATGGAGAAAGTCCTTGGCTCTACACAACGGCGAGACTAGGCTCTCACGTTGCCAGTTCAAAACATTCTATCACGCGCCCCTTCGTGTTTTAAGGGGGAAGGAGGGTTACGGCTCGGCAATGGCTCGACGATCCCACCAGCATGCAGACGACCCTTCCGCGAGAAAGAGCAGACGGACGTGGTGAAAAGTGGAAAGAGGCAAACGAAACGGATCCCAGGCCATTAGAAAACCTACAAAAATGAAAGAGAGTGGCAAAAGACGAGAAAGAGAAATATCCCACCTGAGCCTTTCGAAGATTGTCGACGGTCAGCTTGAGCAGTCCCGAGTAGTCGCCACGCGTGAAGCAAACCCGGCCCTTGTCCATCAGCTCGCAGCCCAACAGCTCAGACTTCTCGGGGTCGTCTGCGCAGTCGTAGAGCCAGCTTTAGACGGGGTCTTTTCACTTTCACGAGCAAAGCTTACTTCCTGGACTTACGAAAAGTCGACTTCGTCGTATAAAAGCTTAAACGGCTCAAGAGCGGTCTGCCTCGAAGCGACGTCTATGTGCCACCAGCGCAGAAGGATAATTTGGCCGGCACAGTGCGACTAGCAACCGGGGGTACCTAATTTGCGTCGCGCAGCAGCGACAACGCAAAGGCACGCTGGTACGTCACTAGTTTAGACTGAAATGAGCGTAAAGTGTGGGAAGAAGAGGAGGCGACAACCAGACGAGCAATTCCCGAGGAAAGGCGAAAGAGGAGGTCGCGGTCGGTGTGAACGCCCCCAAGGGTGCCAGAGTTTGTCCAATGGCGCATTTAAATTTTGTTCGTCTTTGGCCATCGTTGGAAGCGCCTCCCCCGGCTTCACCTCTGGTGGCGTCACGTCGACTCCACAAGCTTCCTACCTCTGTGGAAGCGAGGGAGAGTAAAAACTAACCGTACAGGTCAACATTTAGCCCTATCTCAAAACGCGAACGAACCACCGCAGAAATCCGGAGTCGAAATGAGATACCCAATTGTGCCCGTAACATTTTAAAGTACCACGTCGAAGAAAGGACGCGAGATCGTTAATTGCCGCTTCTCCGGCGCGGGCTTTGCTGCGCTCTCAAACACTCTCTCTCCCGCTGCACATATAATTTGATATAGTTGCCGACATTTTAATTAATGCAGGGCTAGGCTCATTACATTCACGCTTTTCACTTCGTCATTTGCCCGTCGGCATTCTTAAAGGGATGGTGAACCGTAATTTGGATTTCAAAAACACGATGCTGGAGATATAGGCGGGACGCTACAATCCCTACAACAATACTAGTAAGGCGATATCTGAAATGGACGGCCGTATCTTTGGAAAAAGAAATCGAGATTGAACCAGGCCGACGAGGCGCGTGACCGTCAAGATACCTAGTTTCCTCCTCTCTTCGCTTCGCTCCCTCAAGGCCGCGAGGCGGAAAAGACGCGAGGCCGTTCCCTCCCCTTCTCGGAGAAACATGACGTCAACATTCCTGCCAAATGCGCCTCTTTTTTTGAAAAATACGGTCATCCGTTCGAGATATCGCTGTACGAGTGTTGTTTTGGTGTTTGTAGCATCCGGTTGCACGCTTTTGCCGCTTGTTTTGGGGAATCCAGATTTCGGTTCAGCATCCCTTTAACAGCTAATGCTGCGACCCGATTGGCTGCACACCAAAAGTAAGGTGCTCGAGCATAGCGAGTCACGAGCATTGAGCTCCCGGTGACCACAGCACATCACAGTTGGACGCGTTGGCGTGTGAAAGTCGACGTCGGCATCTTTCGTCATGCGCACGGTTTGCAGTAGACTTTGCACCGGCACGTGCCACGTGGTATCGTCAAGACTGCTTCCCAAGGGCTACTTACACATCGAGGTCTCTCTCCTACGACAAATACAGAGGAAGCACCGGTGGATGTATGTCAAATGCTACTTCGAAACAAAGAAAAAAAACTTGGAGGATGCTTAAAGGAAGAGACACTGGCTAGAGATTTAAAGGGGTACTCCGGGCGTTTTTTGAACTAGTTAAACAAATGGCATTTTCTGACTACCTGGACTAGTCTTCACGGTAGGCAAATTATTTTCTCGAAATTCAATATAAAAATTGAGGAAACAGTAAATAAAGATGATGCCGAAACCAGCATTCAAATTTCCGCGTGCTCTCCAGTGGTGTGACGTCACAAATGGTACAAACTTCGGGTCGGGCAGGTAGTCTTAAACAGAGTGAGTCGAGTGTTTTTTGCATGCCTCCCAGTGAATCAGCTACCAACCATTCTTTTCCCACCATCAAATGTCTCATAATCAGTTGGGAACATGGCTTACTGCCCACGTTTTACTATTTCTGCCGCCACACTTCAATGTTGCCAGTCCCGGTTTGAGAAACACAATGAAAACGAAATTCGAAAATTCAATAACTTGGCAAAATGTTTTTCTTTTCAGACAATACTTGGGACACTGGTAGAGTCGTGTCTATCAATGTGTCGAGCCAATTTTGAGGGAAATCAGCGACCATGAAAAAATTGCCAGAGTACCCCTCTAACTTCTGCACTGCTCAAATGATTGGAAGGAAATTTGCAGGGGAGATTTAACTTTGGATGTAGGTGTACTGTACAAACTTTCAGCTCTCTAGGACAACTTTACATACCTGCATAAGAAGATGGGTCACTTTTCGTTAAGAAGCTTTCAAGCACCATTTTGACTACTTGAATATAAAGTGGGGGATGTGGAACTTTGGGCTATCTAGTTTTTATAACTAAGATGTAAATATTTCAGGAAGAGTTATTACCTCGAAATATGAGATACAAATCTGTCCTATGTCAATTTCTGATAACAGTTTTTTTTATTAATGGGCACTTCAACTTAAAACAAAATAAAGCAGATAGCTGAATTTCCCAGCAAATTTCAGTTCAGAAACGTCTTGATTGTGGTATCAGAATACTTTTACCTTCGAACAAAAGATTCCTTCGTATAAAATTTGCAGCAAAACGTGGAACTGAGAAAAATGCATTCAAACATTGAACTCTTTTACTTTGTTACTGGCTCACACTTTGTTGAAAATATTTTATATCAATGTAACTGTTTGGCATGTGGTTATCAAATTTAGTGTAAGGGTGAATAATTAATTTCGAACACCGAAAACCTCAAAACTGAAAAATTAATTTTTTCAAACACTTACGCTTCGCCTTTAAGAGCGGAACACGATGGGGTTATCGGGTATTGTTCGCATTGCCTTCTCATTTGCTTCTCATGCTCTTCCTGCCAGTGAGCAGGAAGTGCAGCGGACGCAGCCTAGCCAGTAGCGTGTCTGGCTCACAAACGAAGAGTCGTGGGTTTGAATAACAACGAAAATCCTTCAAATTTTTTTTAAAGGCAAATGAATTACTTTATAAAGTGCAATTATTTTAGACATGCAGCAACCTTTAATTTGCATTACATGTCATGTTTTTAATCACCTTCATTCCTAACTCCTAACGCAAATATTTCAGGAAGAGTAGGGTTGTGCGAATATTCGAAATTTCGAATAGTAGTTCCGAATAATACACTATTCGATATTCGCTTCGATAACAACTGCATTATTCGAGTTTTTCGAAGTGCTGATTGCGGCGGGTTAGCCCCTTAGAGTGCGCTTCTCACCAAGCACCGGTACGCTGCGGAGAAGCAATACCCGCGGAAGCGAGCTCCGCGGGCGTTGCTTCTCCGCAGCGCACCGGTGCTTGATAAGAAGCGCACTCAATGGGGTAACCCGCCGCGATAAACACTTAGCAAGGTATGAATATCGTAGTTGCATGCATGGAAGTAAAGCATACATTCAAAGCGGGGTGGTGCACCTGTGCCGACTGTATTCCAAAATAAATAAAAAGTTTGTGAATGTGTACACTGTAGTAAAAGTTTCAAAATTAAACTGTTATGCAAGAGTGTACTACGTTAGGCAGAGATGCCCTTACAAATCTTTTTTAACTCGAGATTAAAGGAAGAATATTTTATATAGCAAGATTTGTGAATTCACTCCTTTGGGTATAGTTGGCCATCTCTACAGGATTCATTTTATGTCAAATCCGTCGTTTACTTGCCATCCCAAGACACCAGACCTTCTGAGGTCACAGTTCATAAATACAGAGAGATTAAACTAAGTTTATAAATTAACAAGCGTAACAACCTTCAAAAATTTAGCTGGGTTTTCGTCTAAGAATTATGCAACGGTAGTGAAAGGCATGGAAAAACTATTTGAATTCGAATCGAAAATATTCGGGCAAAACCACTATTCGCTTCGAATTCGATTCGAACTCAAAATCCACTATTCGCACGAGACTAAGGAAGAGGTATTACCTCAAAAAGTGAGATGCATATCTGTCCTATGTCAATTTTTGAAAGCATAATTTTTTCTCAATGAGGTTTTCAACTTAAAACAAAATAAAGTAGATAGCCAGATTCCCCAGTAAATTTCAGTTGAAAAAAATCTTGATTGGATTGTGGTATCAGAATACTTTTATCCTTCGAACAAAAGATTCCTTCATATAAAATTTGCAGCAAAACGTGGAACTGAGAAAAATGCATTAAAGCATTGAACACCTTTACTTTGTTCCTAACTCACAATCTGTTAAAAATATTTTATATCAATGTAACTGTTTGGCGAGTGGTTATCAAATTTACTGTAAGGGTGTATAATTAGTTCCTAAATCCAAAAACCTAAAATTTGAAAAATTAACTTTTTCAAAAAGTTAGAAACTTAGGCTTATACCTCACTTCACAAAACATCAGCTACCTGTATAAGCCTCGCATGGAGGTTTCTTTTTAAATGTCTTTTCGGTGAATTGGTAAAAATGGGAAGGGGCGCCAGAAATCGGACTGGCCTTGCGGAATACAGTAAACTTTCGTTAGTTCGACCTCGGTAAATTCAACTTTTCGTTTAATTCGATCGTGTTCAAAAGTCCCGGCGAGCGCCCATAAATTTTTATGTATACCTTTCGTATACATTTTTTTGCCAACTCTAGGTTTTCAAGCTGAGTTCACACAAACAAGGTGCCCGTGGACGCCAATTCGTTTTCGATAGCCATGTGCAAATAGTGAATTTCAAGTTTGAAGCAGATGGTGGTATTGGCCCAATATTTTCAAATTGAATATTGAATAGTTTCTCCAAGATTTCCATTACCGTTGCACCAAGCTTCTAGCTGAACTCACGATAAATGCATACATGTTCCAAAAGCCAGGTGTAGACTGGTCGACCTTGCCTCATTTGTGTCAGTGTATACTGAAGATGCCATGTGCATAGGTGGCAAAACATCTGTACCTTTTTGTTGTTACTTTGTTATGTTAAATCAGAGTATACCTTTTCAATCATGAACTCATGAAGGTAGTTCCCAAGCTTCCAATGCCAACTTCTGAGGTAAACTAATTTTATTTTAACTACATTTATGGACTGCGGCCTCAGAAAGTCCAATGTTTACATTGGGGTGGCAACTAAACTACTGATCTGGCATAAAACTAAATTTACAGAGATGCCCAGGTACACCTAATTGAGGGAATTTATAAATTTTCTTGCTATATGTTTATATATCCTTTCTTCAAAATAAAAATGAAATAATAAATTCACATATTATGAATGTATTTTGTGTTTATATACTCTTGCATAATAGACAGTTTAATTTTCAAAATTTTACTGCAATTTGAACAATCCCAAAATTTCCACTATGTTTTTTTTTTTTTTAAGTGCTTCCAGTATGTGTGTGCACCATCATAATTTGAAAGTGTGCTTTTCTCCTAAGCAAGCGCCTGTGCTGCAGCGAAGCAAGCTCCGCATGAGTTAATACAAAGCGCACTTAATGGGGCTAACCCGCCGCAATCGACACCACAAAAAGTATGAATGTTGCAAGTTCATTGTGAAACGATTATCGAATAGCATACTATTTGAAACCACCAGTATTTGAAAATTGCAATATTCGCTAGTTCTTGAAAATTCTAATATTCGCACAACCCTAGCCTCAAAGCAAAATAAAAGCCGATTCGTCACACCAAATTCTGTCAGAAGTAAATGCCCCAAAATAGCAACCCTACTAAAAATGCAATGCATGATCCACTTACAAACTTGCAAGTCAAAACCTTTTCCGAGTAAAGTCACGAATGCAAAATTGGGGCATGCACCTGAAGTGAGCACAGACGCGTAGCGGATCTCGTAGCAGTCCTGGTCCCCGGCCTCCGTGGCCTTCTTGAACACCCTGGTGATGTAGCCCTCGATCCCCTGAAATGCAAGCGCCACTAGCTACAAAATTTGCCACTCGCTACGAATCTACTGCTCTCTACGAACATAAGAATTCGCTACACCAGAAAGACAACTCTGGCACTCAAACTGCTTTAGCTCTGTACTGCCCCGAAGAAAAAAAACGCGAGCCACTTCGCTTCACCTTCGGTCGGAGTGCATCCGATGCTGCGAGATGGCATAGCACCTGCATGGCACAGCACTTAAAGCATTAGCTCTCAAAGAGGTTACAAAAAGGAACACCAGGGCCCTGGAGTGTGTCCATTTCTCTCAGCCATCCCCACCTCTCAATGAAATCGTTTTCCAGCTTCAGCACAGTTGGGCTGCACCCCGACGCGTTGCTGCACTCTGAAGCTCACCGGCTCCAGTCATGTGCCCCTAGTAACATGAGTCGGCAAACTCGATTCCTGGTTATTAAAGAAACAGCTTATGTATGCGACTATCATGCTCAGCACCCTTCCATTGCATCATTCACCAAATAATTGTCTGAGTTGGGGACACAAACGCTTAAAAACAGAGCGTTTTCGTATCTGCAATGCTTGCGCTTTTCGAAGTGTCGATCGCGGCGTTGTAGCACCGCCACCTGCACTTTTCACTGAGCGTCGGTACACTGCGGAGAAGCAGCATTCGCAGAAGCGAGCTCCGCGAGTGTTGCTTCTCCTCATCACATTGGTGCATCCTTAAGAAGCATGCTTAAAGGGGCCCTGCAAGCACGTTTTTACTCATTTTTAATTTGTACCAAACCTGAGCGCACTGAACGTAGTAACTTAGTGTAACTTTTATTTTCTTGAAATTCGCTTTATTTTAAAAGTTATAGGCAAATCAAAATTACAAAAACAAGCAAAAAATAACCTCCCTCATGACGTCCTTGGTTGCTTGAGCGGCCGTGAACTAGAGGAGGGGTAGTGAGCTCATCGCGAGCGCTCACGGCTACCGCACTCCGTGTCAATGGCGCGAGAGGGCGCCACTAAAGCATGTTCAGGACAGTTTGTATGCAGCGGGCAGCCAGAGCGGCTTTCATTGCATTTGCTGCGTGATTAAACACTAATTCGGCATGACACTTCATTGGCCGCAAACGACAGCAAACACGGGGTAAAGATCGGTTCAGAGTGGGAGCCACTTCACGCTGCCATACCGCGAAACGGCCAAACCGCAAGACAAGCATCTCGCCGAAGGCCTTCGGAAGGCTCGGAGCCAGTCGGATCCTCCTGCCCATACGACCGCAGCGCTGCCGCGTACATCCGGGATTTTTCCGTGTTGGCGCCTGATCCCACTACTTCTTTCTAGTATGCGTCGCCTTTTCCACCGCTTGGTGGCGGATATGTCGACGGGTCATTTCTTGTTTCCGTACTTTATAAACTGCATTTGTTTCTTTTCTCATCTAAAATAGTGAACAAAAACTACTTTTATAAGTAATTGAAACGGTTCGCGCCACTTATATTTTGTATTTCGACTAAAAAGAAGCTTTTAGCAGCTCTGACCAGTAGTAACCCAAGGACCAAAGACGTCACATTTTGCGCGCTTTCGGTACCGCGGGTCGCCCTCGTCGGTGAAGGAGGTTTCCGCGTCGTCCAATTAAAATATGGCGCACTGATATTTAGTTACTCTCCCCGTGCCCGCTGGCTTGCCCGAACTTCAAGAGACGTGGAAACCGCAAAAAAGGTAGACGCTTAAATATGATTGCAGGGCCCCTTTAACGGGGCGTTGAGCATGCTTCCTGCCGCGATCGACACTTCGCAAAGTATGATTATCGCAGTTCACCTCGAAGCGAATATCGAATAGCGTATTATTCGAAACTACTATTCGAAAGTTTGAATATTCACACAACCTTACTCTCTTGTATGTCCACTACAATTTATAAGGCTCATAGGCTTCTCCATTACTCTTACTGCATCAATGGTGAGACTGGGTGGGGTTCCTTGGCAATCAATCGAGAGATGTGCATGCCTCGAGATCCAAGTTTTTTAGAACTCCTGGTTCAGAGCAATAAAGACAGATTTAGAAAGAGGTAGAGTGGCTCTCACGAATTATTGAGAAAAGTTAAGGTAGCTCTTGCAAATTACTGATTCACTTGAGTGGCATCATCTGTAGTCAGTGAGGGGTTTAGAATTCAGCAGATGCTCTGGCCCACAGGTCTAACGCATCCGCTGCAAGTACCTCCGCTATCAAAAAGTAGTGCATTGTCCACTTCGCGACGTGGCGACATCGACAATGTCGGTTTCAGGCACAAGCAGGCGGAGCACAGCTCGCTGCATTTCGAACGAAATGAAACCTTCGCGAGGCCGCAGAAGTGCCTAGGTCATTTCACAGGAGGTGAAGTGCTGGAAGGTCTTCTACCTCGGCGTGTCGAAGGCGACGGCAGGACACCATGTGCGACAATGGCAGAACGGGGCCGTTGCTGCGTACCCGGTTTACTTTCAGACTGATTAAAACAACAAGACTCTACGAGGGTGCCAGTTTCACGGAAAAATGAATACTGCTTTGAAGGCGTCGTATCAGTAGGCATCCTTCATTTATTGAAGACAGCGGGGAAGCAGACGGAGTCCGGTGAGGCAGTCAGGGTGTCTAGCAAATTATTATTTTAAAATTCCCCGACTTTTCCAGGTTTTCCCTGATAATTTCAAATGAAATTCCCTGACCACTCTAGGAGCGGTTAAACATATAAGACCATTACAACACAAGGCATCGAGCATTGAGCACTGTGAGGATCATTTTGCACGGGCTTAATCCAACTTGCACATTCCAAAATATTCGGGTTCCTCCAGTCCCGATTAAACGAGCACTTTCTTGCCGCTGACATTGTCAGTGAAGAGGCCACTCCCGGAAACATGATGAAACCACGACGCTCAACCACACACGTCAATAACCGAATGACAACATGGCGGCATGGCCGCCAGATGCACACTTTCGGATAGTTTCGACTTGGATTGGATTGGAGTCTGCGACTTTGACATTTGTTACTAAATCTAGTAGCTCTAACTGGATCTAGCTTAGTGTCGCACCCTCAATCCAACCCAATCCAATCGAAGCCTCGGACTGGATTTGTCGGCTTTTCCCTTTGCATCGGGTAGCACACCCTACATCGGGTGAGGAGAGCTCGCACTCTACTCTAAGCAGAATTTGTTGCCCATTTTTCTGCCCCCAAGTCCTCAAGCCTTTGCTCGGGGCACTCGATGGCGTTTCCGGCTCATTTTCCCTGACTGGGCTCGCTTTTTGACAATATATCCCTGACCATTCCCTGATTTTTCTTGGTAAATAAAACTTCCCTGACCATTCCCGGTTTTTCTGGTTTTCCCGGCTACTAGACACCCTGGGCAGTACATTGGTGGCGTCACCCTGAGTATTTCATGCGGCATATAACATCAACAGTGGTGACCGCCATATGGCCATCTATTGTAAGGTCAGTTCCAATAATGTAGGAACTCGAGAGGATCTCATCTACTGCAAGATTGCAGGTTAAGAGAAGCAGGACAAGGTTCTCCCAAAAAGCCCACCATCCTTTCCACTTAGCAGAGTGAATGCAGGAGAGGAGGTGAGAGAGGAAGCGAGCGTACACTTGCCTCCTCTCCAGCGTTCGCTCTGCCAAGTGGAAAGGATCGTGGGCTTTGTAAGAGGACCTTGTCCTGCTTCTCTTAACCTGCAACAGGGTACTTCAACTCCAATAATTGCAATTTCTCACCTTCTCCGTCAAGAACTTTCCCACCACTTCAGAGTCGTGCTTGGTGCAGTTCTTTGAAAAGTATGTTGTGGTGCCCTGGAAGTGAGGGAAGACAAAATGTATTAAAGACTTTACAAAACGTCAACAAGAAACTGTCTCAGACTTAATCTGCACTTTGTTCGGCACACTGTCGAGACAATAAAGCACGGACAGTAAATAGGTAAGCCCAGGTGCTAAAGGAGTGACTCCCGTCAAAACCTGGTTTTTTGAGTCATCTGTAGATAGAAAATCTATCGTTCTTACAACTAGTCAAGGTTTTTAATAAAATTTCCACCTCATACTGAATCCCCCCCCTCCCTTTCTCCCCTAAAAAAGTTGAGGAAAGTACTAAAGAACAAATAATACGCCAAGCGGAATCCTCAGTTTTCAAGGATAGTTCAAAGGTAAACAACTCTGGGCAATCTCCATTGGAAATTTCGGTGATACAGCAGATATTATGCAAACTTGCTGGTTCAACCGAAACCATGATGAGCATTTCTTCTACTGGAGTTTCCCCTCAATTATTGCGGTACAAAACCCACCCGACTCGGGCAGATTTTGAGTGACCAAGTCTGCTTGCATAGCCTTTCCGGCAATACAAAATTTTGCCTTGGCACACTGCCAAACAAAATGCGATGCATAAAAAAACCTTTCTGTTTGGCTGCAACCCTCCAGGGTTAAATACAGATATTACTATTATTATATTATAAAGCAACTGTACCAAAAAAGATATTTGTCAGGTATCAAACTGAGCCGCTGCCCCCGTTTCCTCCAGGATGCAATCGACACAAACTGATTTGCTTCACTCTCACAAATAATCGCCTCCTGTAGAAATAAGGAATCCACCACCCTCAATTGCACCCAGATTTAATGCAACATTTGAATCACTGAAGCTTCGTTTCTCCACAAAATTATTTGGACAACAGATGCACATTTGGGCCTCCATACGACTAATCGCGTTTCGAGTGCTTACAACCGCATACGACCGGATGGTTGCCAGAGCAACCGAGGACCGTGCAACTCGATGGCGCGGAATGATGCAAGGGGTCGGAACGCCAACTCGGATGCAAACGTCCAAACCAGCCCTTACAGGGCCACTCACTGAAAAGAAAAAAAATGTTTCTTTTAAACAGTCTGGTGAAAACACGCCGCATGACAAAAAATAATCTTATGCAAAAAACAAAACAACAAAAAAATTTTTAGAGCAATATTGACGGCGCAAGGCGCGATTTAGTTGGTAGTCACTCCTTTTGACTTGTTTTCTCTCTTGGCATTTCGGGCACACGGAAGAGAGGTGGATTGGCTTGGCCATCACGTTGAGGTGGAAAGAGTGTGTGACCATTCCGTGACATCATTGACTTTGCGCACACAATTTGAAATAAATCTTGCGCCATCAATATTGCACAAGAAAGTATTGTTTTTTGCATAAAATTTATTTTCTGACACGCATGTCCCTACCAGACTGTTAAAAAAAAAATTTTCTTTTCAGTGGTTTTTTAACACATTGACTTTCAGTTGCGCACCTTTCTGTTCTGCACGGAAAGCATGAGGAGACTCTGAGAAGTCTGCTACAAACACCGAACCGACCCCGGAATTTCAAGCTGGAGACCGGCAGTATGGTGCCTAAGGCACGCCTTGGACCTATGTCTTTAGCTACTTAAAACTGCCCAAGCACCGAAAGTGATCCAAAAATGGCAACAGGCGACACCAGGGGAACGGAACCGCCGTGTCGTGCTTTTAGAGGTCCGATCCTGGCGACAGCAAAAGACGGCAAGCAAAACCAGGTGCCGCCGTTGTTGCGGCCTCCAGACTCGTGGTTGCCGAAGCTTCCGCGAACCGTCGAGTGACTTACTGCGAGACCAACGCCTGCCGAATCCGCCTCTGCCGCCGTGCCGCCGCAAGGATCGCGGCGGGCGACGGCGCAACTACGCGAGTGTGGCGTCGCCGGGCGGAAATCGAGGGACCGTTTTTCAGGAAGCAGTAAACGAAGCCGGGCGGAGACGCGTTCTGGACACCATGGTGGCACCCTATCCGTTCGGTTTGGAAGAACGGCACAAGGACCCCGGAATGGCTCCGTCTGCCCCCGGGTAGGAACTCACCGCTGGAGGGAACCCTAGGTGCTTCTCGTTGTCCCCGAGAGAGTACAGCGGGCCCGACAAGTGGGACCAGAGGAAGTCCATCGTGGAGGGGTCCAGCTTGGAAGCCTCGCTCAGAGTCACCAGCTTGTGCAGCTTTTCCTGCAAGTGCCAGAAGTCGCCGAGTCACCGCAACCGTCCCTGAGCCTTTGTGGCGCGAGTTCCACGGAAAAATCATTGGTTGTAGTTGAGATTCTTTTGTCCAATCTTTTACGGTGTAGTCACTTTTCCAGGCGTGAAGGGGACCGAGTATTCACTAGCTCTGATGAGCTTGTTACTCGTATGCTTTTTTATGCCTGCTATTCAAAGATGTACCGGTGTGCTCCACATCTATTATGGTCCCTAGTAAATGAACCCACAGTAGCCATTCATTAACATGGTAGAACCTCTTTAATAAGTGCAACTTGTATGTAGAACTCTGGATAAGTACACCCGATAAATGGAACAATTTTGCCCTGTCCCACACGATTCTCCTTGAGAAGAGTGCACTCTAAATATTTGTAAATCAACCTCGAATGTTTCTACCAGTGGCTGTGTCATATACATTCTTTTGCGATTGTCAGGTTATGGGGTGTCACAGGTTCGGATATTAAAGATCCCATTTAAACAAACAAATTTAGAATTTGACTTGGACCGCTGTTCAGGTGTTAGGACCACACCTTGGCGATAGACATCCTGAGAGGCGGGAGGAATTGAAAGCAGAGCATGTCGACGTTAAGAACAGTATTTTATAAAATAATTCAAAAGTAAGGGAAGGGCGCACAGGACGTACACACAGTCGAAAGAAGGAAAGAAAAAAATATCACAAGTCAAGTCGAGGTTGTCATACAGTTTTGGAGGGGGAGAGCCGAGTCAGCGTTCCAAGATGCAGGTGGAGGTCCGGTTCGTTGCGCCGCCAGTCGGGGTCGAGGAGCCATGGTGGCTTGGGTGTCGTGGTGACACACAACACTCACTCACAAGCACTCACACCCCTCTCCGTCGAATACCTTCTCAGTGTTCGAACAACCAAACCGCCGCGGACCTGCTCAGCGCTGACCATCCACACCGCCGCAGCCTTGCTCCGCGGTTTTTTTTGTTCCACAGCCCTCGCGCGCGCGGGATCCCGTCTTTTTTTTTTTTCTCTTCCTCCAAACTCGCACGAAAACAAAAATCCTAAGCACACGCTCCTGTTCTCGGCACTCGCGCACCCCACTCACAAACACGGGAACGGACACCATAACCATTGAAGGACAAAAATAGTTATTGAATTCTGTGACACTACCCCTTATTTACAAAAATATTCAAGCAGGAATATCAAAAAAAAAATCATAAAATTCAATGCGCACTATCTCTTCACGTTTTACCACTGCTATTCCTCAAGCACGTCCTGAAACAATGCAATCAGTAACAGTAATTCACCCCAACCATTCAAAATATATTGATAGTCCACATAAAAAGAAACAGTTTGAACTCTGCTAAAGAACTAACTCACTCTACAGCTTTCTCAATACACACTAATTCTAGACCAAACAGAAGACACTTCAGTTAGGTACACACAGATTCGAACGTATCAAAAATTACTTCGTGACCCAGCTATCGAGAAACTCCGATTCGCTTTTCAAATGTCTTGGCGTAACACATCAGCAATCCGAAAGTTTGACAAGCAACGATAACACTCAGTTTTGCAATACCATAACAAAAATTAACGAACTTACGAAAGCGAAAACAAAAAAATACTTTCCGAGTAATTAGCACAACCGGTTACGAGAGAACCCAGTCTTAATCTTTCGATGAGATATGCAATTCACTGATTACTCATCTAACCTCCAAGCCTTGGCCTTCTGTCTTCCCAGCTTACTGTGACTCTCAACCAGATCTCAGAATTAAAGGTAAACTTCGCATGATCTCTCCCATTCCAGATGATCCAGATTTTCACGTTAGCATAGCACGTGCTCTGTCTTTTGGATAAACTTTCCACTGCATGGCGGTCTCTGACTGGCGAGCGGTCTCGTCGCCTGATGACCTTTCCTTTGCACTGCCTTAGCAACATTCTTTGAGTGTTTGACTTGCATTTCAAACGAAGCTCACGCTTAATTTTTTCACCCATAGATTCATGCTTCCCTCTCTTAGCACTCATTGTGCTTTTCTTAGGACCTCTACCTAAAACCACGAGGTGCACCTCAGTGTCCCCTGGGTTCGTCAGGCCTGAAGCTTCAGCTTCCGTAGTCGACCTGGGATAGAGTTCTGAATCTCCAAAGGACGCATCCACGCCTCTCATCTGGCCACCAATCTTTACCAATGGACTGAAACCGTTGACACTTGTCGGCTCCAAGCTTCCCCCCTTTGGGAGCTTTCACTTTGTGCTGTGAAATCCTCAAATGCCTTATCAGCACTTTTTTGTAGGTCCTCCTCAGCTTCCAGACGTGCTATCATCTCTTCCAGGCGATTGCACTCCGCCTGAAGACAAGCCGATTCCATCACACCCTCCTCCCTCCACTGATGTGTCGATGCAGATGCAAGAAATAACTGCTCGTAGTCTTAACTCTTGGCGCTCTCGCGGCTCTCGTATTCTCTCTCTCTTGGTCCACCCATTCCCTCAGGGCTGAACCCTTGAGCCAGAGTTCTTTTCCGCAGGCCACTAGCTCGTGTAGCTCCATGACTGAAGTCGCGCGGACCCTTTGCTGGATAGTCTGACTCTAGAACCCCTCCTCTGTTCCCGATCGGTAAGCCGGGTTGTGTGCTCCCGCAACGGCGTCAGCCTCACAACGCGCTCCCTACGGCGTGGCAAACTCACTCGCTCACCCTCCTCCTCTCAGGATAGATCGTCACAGTGGACAGCAGGTCCTGCCGCGGACGCCAGTTTGTCACAGGTTCGGAGGTTAAAGATCCCATTTAAACAAACAAATTTGGAATTTGACTTGGACCGCTGTCCAGGTGTTAGGACCACACCTTGGCGATAGACATCCTGAGAGGCGGGATGAATTGAGAGCAAAGCATGTCGACGTTAAGAACAGTATTTTATAAAATAAAAAGTAAGGGAAGGGCGCACAGGACGTACACTCAGTCGAAAGAAGGAAAGAAAAAAATATCACAAGTCAAATCGAGGTTGTCATACAGTTTTGGAGGGGGAGAGCCGAGTCAGCATTCCAAGGTGCAGGTGGAGGTCCGGTTCGTTGCGCCGCCAGTCGGGGTCGAGGAGCCATGGTGGCTTGGGTGTCGTGGTGACACACAACACTCACTCACAAGCACTCACACCCCTCTCCGTCGAATACCTTCTCGGTGTTCGAACAACCATACCGCCGCGGACCTGCTCAGCGCCGACCATCCACACCGTCGCAGCCTTGCTCCGCGTTTTTTTTTTGTTCCACAGCCCTCGCGCGCGCGGGATCCCGTCTTTTTTTTTTTTTTTCTTCCTCCGATCTCGCACGAAAACAAAAATCCTAAGCACGCGCTCCTGTTCTCGGCGCTCGCGCACCCCACTCACAAGCACGGGAACGGACAACACCATAACCATTGAAGGACAAAAATAGTTATTGAATTCTGTGACATGGGGAGATCTCTCGAGAACAGGTGTCAACATGTTTTCACAAATCTCCCTCTCCTACTTTTTCGACCCCATTTTTCGATGAAATCCGACCATGCTTGAAAGTGTGTCAAACACACCGGAAGAACGACAACATGGAAACGAGCTGGCGATGCTGCAAGAGACCTACCTTCGACAAGTTTGGGATAAACTTGTTGTCCCCAAAGCCTTTGTAGTTGCCCATGTTGGCATAGAAGGCAGCAGCATACACAAGCAATGCCTGAAACAAATAAATTGTGCAGACTCAACTCAACCCATCCACAATTTTAATATAACGAGAGGTAAAATAAAAAGGTCCATTGCTGCTAGCATCGAAGATGTGTACAAATCCTGTGGCAGATCATGTCGTCACAAACTGTCTACATAGTCTTTTTCATTGAAAGTGCCGGAAGGAAGCGCTGTTGGCACTTTATGTCCCCGCAAACTTTTGGTCAAGTAAAAGGACGAACAACCCCCACCATAGCATTGCTTCTCGCGAGGTTTATGAAATATTTTACGACCAGTTCTGCAGGTGATTAGCTAAAGAACCGGTTAGCAAGAGATTTGTTGGAGATTATTATTCCTGTAAGATGAGTGACCAAAAGTCTCTTGGAAGCCGGGAGAGGCCTTTTGTTAAAACAGTAAAAAGATCTATAAAAATAAGTTGTCCTAAAATTTCCGAGATTGACCTACTGCTGCAATCCATGAGGATAATCATTGATTCCTGCTCTAAGACGCTGAGCAAGTACACAGCTGCCCAAATAATTGGAACTTCACTGTGACAAAATGGCAGTTCAGCACTTCCTCAAACCAGAATGATGTATACACTACTTTAACTGATTACATATTTAATAAAAAGAAAAGATAGAAGCTCACTAAAGTGTTAAAGAAGCATTCAAAAGCAAAGAATAATACAATTCTACACTGTTAAGGAAGGTCTCAGTGCCTACCTTAACACTGTTTGTAAAACTAAACTATGTAAAGGTCCATTATTCTTTACACTTTAATCATACTGAAAGCTCTACGTCTCCGTGTATTTGTGCATACAGTGAGGAATGAAGTCTCGTCTCTCTCTCTCTCTCAATGTCCATTTACCTCCATCCCGGATCAATGACAAAACAATGCCCAGGCATACCCAGGGATGGTCCTAGGTATGTAGCCGTTGCCCTAGATATGTCCACAATAGTTTGTTTCACTTTATGTACAAGCAAAGGCAAAAATACAAGGACAAACATATTGCCTCGAACAACAATGCTCGCACCGCACGAGCGGGCACTCTCTGCGAGGACGCTGTTGTAGGCCCGGAACCAGAGCCGTATATGTAGAGAGTTTGGTCAATGGGAGGCGCGGGCAGAGCCAGGGCGTGCACCAGATTCGGAAAGAGGGCTTGGCATGCTCTCTTGACCAACCAGAAGCCGAAGAGAATCCCCTAGCGGTGGTAGCGAGAAACCGTTCTGATCAAAGGTCTGTGTTCGTAAATGGTTTTAATAAGCGCGTAAGAGTGGAGTGTAGTAACTCTTTGTGGTTGAAAATAGGGTGCACGTGTTGTTTTGATCATGATCATGTAGAAAGATGTAAGAAACGAATGCGCCGCTCAACTCTGTTTTGCTCAAACAGAGTGTGACCGCTCGGACGGCAGATTCCCGGCCCTCGGCGCTTGGCGTACGGATTATGTCGATCGTTCCGCTAGTCGCACTCCTCCACCATCATTTTGGATGAGCGTGATTGAAACATCACGTGTACCATATTTTCAGTCATCGAGAGTTACTCTAATGAAGTTATCAGGTTTGTTTCTCGCGACCACCGCCAGGGTATTATTTCCGGCTTCTGGTTGGTCACATTCGAATTTCTGAAGACGCCCTGGAACACGCCCAGCCCGCTTTCGGCCAATGACGCCTCCTCATTTGTCTCCTATACTTCCCAACGAATGGCCAAACTCTCTACATATACGGCTCTGCCCGGAACCAGCTCTTGTAGCTTCTGCCTTACTCGCACTTGAAGCAAAACGGAGAAGAGCCACGCCCAGTCGCAACGCCTGGGCATACCCTCCTTCGATACGTGTCTCAAACAAAACGTGCGAGCAAAGTGCTCACCTTGAAGTCCTCTTCGTCGAAGCCACACTGCTCCGTAGCTAGAGCTCGTAGAGAGTCCAGGTCCTGGGACCGGAACAGGCGCTCCAGCAGAAGGAAGATGAGAGGGCTCTCCTTGGACGTCTGCCATTCACAAAAACAACAGCTGTTGGTACTTTCCACTTTCTTGGTGGTTGTCGAGCGTTGCAACGGTGAAATGCATCGTAGAGCACCAAACAAAAGAGGGCGCAGAAATTTTATATGCTATTCTCACCATTACGCAAACACAAGTTTTTACAGACGGCGTTTTGTACACATAAATCCAGTCTTAGGATAATTAACAAAAAGCACAAATTAAGCTGGGCCAAAAATGATTACGGTAGGTGGGTGTCAGAAAGACAGAGGCACCAAATACATTCGAACCCGTTTATAACACGCTCTTTCAGATGCGCATATTAGTTTGAAGCGAATGTGGATGCCGGGAGTTCGAAACGAAACGTATTGACATGAAACGTGCGGTAAACACTGCAATTTGGTCGGAGACAGAAATCATTCACAAGGAGAGGAATGATGCAAAAAGATGAGTAAGGGAGGCAGTGTAGATAAAATCTTTAGGTAATTGTATGAGTAAGGCTTCGTTACAGTTCAATAAAAATTCAAAAATTTTAAATTTTGTTGTTGTTGCTTTTTGTTAGGGATGTGTGTACTGAACATTTTTGCCCCGTTTTCCCGGTTCAGTGTGTGTCATACCTTCATCGCTAACATAAGGTTTGTGGGGTTTTCTCGTTTTTTTTCTTTTAATAAAAAAAGGCTTTTCTTGTGTGAATTTTGGTTAGAATAGAAAAGGTACTGATCCTTTCGTTAAATTTTGGGGGAGATTGTAGAGTCACCTTTGCGAGTCGGCCTGAAGGCCGTTCATAGTACTACTTTGTGAATTGGAGGGTTTGGCGTTTGGACTGGTTAGAGGTTGTTCCTTTTGTGTTTGTGGGGGCTGATTGTGGGCTATATAACAAGGCGGGCTAAATAAACCTTGTAACTGAGTTTGAGACGTCGTCCTGTCCTTTTCTGTTCCTTCGACTTATGCATTAATTTCTGCCCCAGTCTCGGGTTTATTCAGCATGGTTAACATTCACCAGCTTGCCTGCACCCTTACAATATTATGTCTAAACACTAGTGCTTACGTACTTCGATGGATCGCGAAAAAAAATGTTTTATTCACGAAAACATAACCGATAATGCGCCAAATGGGTTAATAGACAAAACTGGAAACAATTCCAGTTCAACTGTTTCTTCCGCCGGAACGTTTGCTAGATTGGAGAATCTGGACTTGCCCGAAGCAGACAAAAATTGCTTCCCCTTTTCACCGAAAGCTGCGCAAAGCGCACCGATTACGAGCAAGCCATGAGCGCCTCTGCTTTAGATTTAGGGCTGGCAGTATGGCAGGCATGTTCTTGAGAGATTTTCCTTCTGTGATGCCAAAATCTAAACGAAACCAGCAGAACCATAGAGAAGCGTACCACATACTTAGTGCGACTGGAAGCAATGAAGATCACCAGTCGCGCATCCGTGCGCGTGCGTGCGTAGTAAACCCCAGCAAGAACAAGGTTCATGCTGAAGCTGGTCGAGACTGCTACTCGTAAAAAGGTCGAGTATCGGCCGTCCACGCGTCGTAATCTCAAGTCGGGGCCTCGGGCACCAGCTTGAGATTTCATTCAGTCATTCCATTGGCTCGAAAACCATCGCGCATCAACAAACAAATCTAAAGCCTTCTTTTTTCCTTTTCTTTTTTTAATAGGACAGGTGTTTGCACGTTTTTGAGGGCCGTCTTTTGTTTCAGGGTTTAATATCGTCCATAAGTTATTTGCTACAGAAGTATATTTTCCGCGGATTTTGTCTGAAATATTTGGGCGTTCGACACGCTGGACGTTTATTAGCTCTATCCGGGTTCGTTATACACGGGCGCGACTGTAGTACACTTTTTATCTGCGTGATATTTTTACCTCATTCCTAGTACTTCACATACTGGCGGCGCTCCAGACACGATGGCCATGCAGATGCCGGGCATGCTGATGCTCAGTGTTCTGACCGTCACGAATTCGGGTGTTTTATTTTTAACTTGCTTTGTTCGGTTGTGTCTTGTTTCCGCACATGTTTTTCTCTCCTACTGAAACCCCCCCACATGGAACCCTTTGGGCATCCATTGCTGTCAAGGCCCCTCTTCCACTTATGGGATTACCTTTAAAATGGCTCGCACGCCTCTTTAGCCGGGACAAGGCCTTCTGTCACCCCTTTGTCGCCAGGACAAGGCAGCCCGGGCAATCAATAAAACTACTAAAACATGTGTTCAAAAAGGCAAAATGCAGAAAAAGGCAATGAGGATCTAAACTTTGAGCAGTCATCCACAGCTAAATTATATCCGCCAAATTATCAGGTACACCTCTGCAAGTTTTCTAGCTCGTTTGTGTTTGCGAGGCTCAAACAGTTCCGTGCCAAGCCGTGAAATTCAACCTCGATAGGATATGAGCGGCCGAAAGCAAATATTCATGCAAAATCTGCTTCACTGTTTTGTGTTCTACAGTGCAATCCACTTACAACGATCATGAAACAACCCCAAAATGCAATCGTTATAACCGATTCTCCTAGTATCTGGACTAGGAACTGGTCGTTTCTAGTCTAGAATCTATATAACTGATCTTTATAAGCGGTATATTGTTCTATGCGGTATCGTTATAAGTGGGTTGCACTGTATTTATGTTTTGGCCTGGTTTCAGCTGACACACATTTGAGGCCAACAGTGAGCAGCAGAACCCAGGCTTCCCTGTAGCTGACTGACAGCACAATACAAGTATGAATATAGATTAAAAAGACACCTGTTGCATTTGTAGAGGGGAAGAACCACAGCTGTTCTTCCAGACGTAGAGATTTTGAAGTATTTGGTTCAAAATAAGGAGGCGAGTTTTTATCAAGCTCAAATCCCCTTGCTTGGCTCGAAAGGCACACGTGGCAACTGACGTTTTCATTCAGTCAGTAAGGATGGCATTTACCAGTCAGTCCGTCACTTCAGACTGACAGCACAACCTGCGTTTGTCTAAATCGAAACACATAAAAAAAAACTCAGAGCAGCGTTTAAAACAGATGGATTTCTAGATTACATTGTTTAATATACAGAAACAAAAGACGTAAACCTTCAAGCTGAAATAAGAGATTTTGGACACGCCATTCTAAAGCTATTAATACTGCTTGTTGAGATACTTTGTGGCTCTTATGAACCAACTAATCTCCGACAAGTGCCAAAGGCAATGCTGAGTGGAATTTCGCTGATTATAACAGATTAACAATCTTCCTGCTGACACATGTCCTCAAAACATGGTAGCGAGCCCCACTCCTTTTTCTGAGCATTTGTAGTTACTAATGTGCTGCGCATTCTAAGAAACTGATTTTCAGCAGAAATGCGCTCCCACTAAAAGAAAGTTTCTTTCTAAAGCAAGACGGTCAAGTTAGAGAAATTAACTTTCACGGTTTCTCTGAAATCCCACAATTCAAGTTGGTCCTCATTAGATCCACCGGAGAACCTCTAAATAACAACACTTCTGAGCCACCTGCATTATGGCAAGATAGCATTGATTTTTCGTTCTGACTTTAATATTGTAAACCGTTATGCACCACTAGACACCAATTATCATGAGTACTTGGGCTAACATTAATTTACACGTTTAGAAAAGTATAGGTTCATAAAAGCAGCATTCCATAACTTCTAGAATGATTTCCTTCATATCCTAAAAATACAAAACCTTAACCTGAATGGACGCTGATGACAAGGCCTTCTTCGTTAATTGTTAGAGGTTATATCTCTTTTTCTCGGTTTCATCCGGAAACACGAAATCCTCGTTACAGGTTGGTACAATGAAGTGACTGTTAACAGCTACAAAAATGAGCTTCCAAACGGAGTTTCCAGGGGTGTCCAAGAGTGTCCCCAGGGGTTCCAGCTTCCCTCAAATTCTTCCAGACGTCCCTCCTCCGAGTGTAGAACAAGAATAGCTGAGCCATGCATCGATGCACCATTACTCCCGCCTTTCATCTCTATGCTCCACCTCAAGAGTTCTATGCAGCGTAGCAGAGGCGAGTGCAGAAACATTGGCTTCTGTTACAAGTCCGATTTCTAAAGCATGCAGCTTTAGAAAGTGAATTTCTTGAGTGAATGCTGACACAAAAAGAAAAAAGCATTTTCCGGGGCAACATTTTCCGACCCCCGTCTTTCTTAGCACTCCTGAAAGGTCAAGAAATGCACATTATTCCGAATGATGTTGCAAAATCTTCCAAACTTTCTCTTTCCATTTTTTTTTTTTTTTTTTTTTTTTGCAAGAAGTTTGAGACAGTGGGGATGAGCTACTTGGCCCACATTTTGAAAAAGTTCTTCGAAATAAAGAACCCTGGGAACTTCTCACTAAATACGTATAGCGCAAGAGACGGCCGTGGAAACAAAAGAGACGGGACGGCACTACGTACATTTAGTACGTTGAACCAACTAGCCCACCTTAATACCCCGGTACTTGGGAATTCCGACGAGCGCAAGTTTCGGTGAACCCAGGGAGGAGCCCACCACTCACCTGGAAGAGCACGATGAGCCCGCCGTACCAGGAAGCCCTGCACAGGTAGTGGGCATAGCACTTCTCCCGCTCAGTCAGGCTCTCAAAGGCCACGTCGCAGGCCAGCTTCACGAAGGGGGTGTCATTCGGGTACACTTCGTCCGACATGGCTCCTGGAACACGAAGGTACGCACAGGTTGCGTCAGCTCTTCCAAGATCCAAGTGCAGAACAGGGGCACCAATAGGACAGCCCACCTTTAGCCTTCCACAGAAGTACCTGGAAGTCTATACTCCGTCTCACCTTAAAGGGGCACTCTAATGACGTCTTTGCATCTGACCTATTTATGTTATTCCCTCATTAGTGGTTAGGGCTACTCGGGGAACAAGTACCTAGTAGCCACAAAATATTAGCGCGTCATATTTTAGTCCGATCAGGCAAAAACAGCTCAACGTCCGCTGGCAACACCGCATTGAAAACGGCCGACCAGTGTCATCACCACTAAGCCCTTCGTGACTGGCAGTCGGCAAGAGCCGTCATCTTCATTTTCATGCAGGCTAAATAATGTGAGTTGCTCCGTAAAGCATCACTACTCTTATAAGAAGGCGTCTTTTTGAGCAAGAAAGATGGAAACGAAGAAATGTATCTTTTAAATGTGCGGAAAAAAGGAAATAAAAATAAAAAACCAAGACTCGCCTGCTTTTTAGCAGCGGAACCAGCCAAGTCAGCAAGGCACACATGCGCACTAGCACTGCTACAGCGTCGAGCAGATTGAGCGCTGCCCCGGAGTGTGTGCGCGACGCTTATTCCTGCGACTTGAATCTGCCGTGTCGTGAGCTGTTCTCACCCATCAGTATGGTGCCTCAATGTTTGGGTGTTGGGGTGCGCACAACATCCACCCGCTCGGTTGGGCGAGTCTGTACGCAGACAGCTCTTCGCACTACTGCGAGAACTTTTGTAGGCTTAACGAGACGGGATGCACTTTCACGGGGTGAGCCAGAGCTTGAAGCCCGATGATGAACCAAAGGAAGAATTTATTAGAATTCAGGTCGACCTTATGTATGAGCTAGATACGATTGTGTGCTAGTCATATCTCGCCAGCAGCCGTTCCCGCTCAAAACAACAAATGCCAAATGCAGAAGCGGTGTACAGTAAAAACAAAGATGAAGCCCAGAATATTTGTTCAAAGTGCGCAACAATTTAGAACGCATAAACGGCGTAATTTAGGGATCATCCACTCACTTCGATGTTACACATTGATCAACGTAGAAGGCTGCTGCGAAACGCGACTGCATAAAATCCGTCGAAGCCTGCCGGTGGACGCTTTGACAGACGCGCTATTGTGATCTTTTACTCCTTTTTTGTGTACTTTTATGCAACGTTTGGTAGAAAATAAATGCTTATTTGCACTTGTTATCCCCAACATTAGCCTTTTTGTCTTTTTTTCTTTCAAACCAATCATGGTGCAACTTTCTGCCCCGAATTGTTGCTTTGATCCCAATGCACTGGATTCTATGATGGGGTGCGGAGAACTGGACGACGAGCATCGTTCTATGCCGGCACGCTTTGGGTTTGCTGATGCCAAAGTATAAACAGCCCAGGCCTAAGGCTAATGACGTTCGCTTTCGAAGCCTGAACTCAGGACGGTGCAAGGAGCTTCAGCGAAGAGGCCGACGATGTGTGCACATCTTTGGCGCGGCAGCCATGAGCCTAACCCGCAGCCCATTGGCCGGCCACTTCACTCCAACCCTCCAATCATTGCATCTTTTTTTGCTGTGTCATGAACCAAAAATGTTTTAGTTCTTTTTGTACTTTTAATTTGCTTACAACTCCCATAATAATTCAAATTTCCGGAAAAACATTTATCCTTCATATTAACACATTTCATGAGGTCCGTTTTAGCACAAATTTCAAACCAGTTCAAAAATCATTACAGGGCCCCTTTAAAGGGATACTACAATATAATTTCAGCGCTTCTTTTTTTCATCTATTTGTGTTCAAAGGAGCAGTATCACATCAGACACATCAATATCTTGTTAAAAAAAAAAAAAAAGTTTGAAACAAATTAAACGAATAACAAAGAGCACCTGGTGGATGTCGCTAAAGCGTCGTTTGCAATGTCCGTCTAGAAACCTTGACAGGGAGTGACGATGACTGTCTCGCCTAGAACTATACATGCTTTGAACCTGACGTCATCCCAACAGCCCTACCGTTTGCACAGGAGAAGAGGAAAGGAACTCTCTTTTGTGTGTATCAGACATCACTATTCTCCCTCTACAAGATTATAGAAGATTAACCCATCACTCAAAATTCACACAAAAGCAGCTTTGCAGTTAGTTGGACCGTTTCAATGGCTGGAAGGACATCCTGACGTCAGCCTCACCGCAGCTTTGTTCATCCCGAGACAGACTACGTCACAATTGCGCCAGATATGATGTGCTCTCCGCTGGCTGCTCTTCGAGCGCTTGCCAGAGGCGGTCGTTTATAACAAAAAATACAGCCATCAGACTCAAAATACAAACGTGCGACTGTCGTTTACAAATATTGTGGATCATATTCAGCCTATTACTGAACACGACGGGCATATTTCGAATTTCGTTGAAGTATCCCTTCAAAGAGCAACTCCACTGAATTCCTAGAATTTCAAAATAATTAGTTATTTCGCAATAAAAAGCACTAGTAAAAGACTATGTCATTTGCTTCGAAAAAAATGGGATATATATTGTAAAACTCAATTTTAAACACGAGCAGAAATCCAATCCGAAACTTCAACTCCTTCCGGCAACTTTGGCCTCAGGCCGCCAAGAACAAGGCTATCACGTGGTACGAGATGTCGCGTGATTCTCTACGCAACAACGGGTGGGATTGGGGCGGGCATGTGCCGGGCGCAAGTGTCTTCTGCACCGCACTCTTCACCACGTTTTGGTGTCTACAACATTCGACGACGTCTGCACAACTGCGGCATAAGTCTGTGTACGTAGTGTCCATAGTATGGACAAAACTCCGAGACGATAATCACAATCGGTGAGACAACGATGGTGGTTGCGACGCAAGAGACGGCGGGACGGCTCCCCAGAAGTGCGCTGCACAGGCGCGTTATGCCAATCACGTGGACACTGCCGAGTGCCGAGAGGAAACGTGGCCAACATCACCCGTTACGCTTGCCCGGAGAAGTAAAAACAAACAAAAAGGGGCAATGATGACTATGTTTAGCTCCAATGTCGGCTACGCCCATGCCGTAGCCTCGGCTGCGCTGTTGTTTGCGCCTCAATGCGGCCGCTCGAGTCAGCCGATTTTGGCAACTTGCCGAGTTGCAAAGTTTGCCAGACCGTTTAAGAAACATTTTGACAGAACTAGGTGGTGATATTTGACTTGTGGTCTTCATAGGTGATACTGAAGAGGACTGCATTGTTTTTCCAAAAACAAAATTGAAGCAAAGTTTTTCTTTAACATGGACTAACCGTAAGGCTTGAGCTCTTTGCGCTTAATGGCACCTCGACCACACACGCTCGCAACCTTCGTGGTTAGTCCGTGTCAAGGTGAGACAAAGTATTGGGGAGGATATCCAATCGTCATGCTCTAGCAAATAAGTTAAAAAATTAGCTCATGGGAACAACAATATGAAATATTTGTTTGTGTTTCTGACATTTGGCTGGGGCTCCAGTTCAATCAGTGAAGCACCAATACAACACTCGTGTCAGTTCTTAATCGAAAAGGATGTAAAGGATTCAGTTGATGGGCCTTGCGTAGGGTAAACACCAAACTCTGTAGAAACCAAGCTGAGAAAAGCAGCCCCCGTAGTTCAATCGCCTCGCCGATAGTGGGACAATAATGATAAAAGAAAAATACAATTCCACGTTTGGGGAGCCACTGGTTTCCCTCTCATCGATAAAGGCATAAGCCGCAGACGATCCAGCCGGAGTCGTCTGCCTTCGAGCCTGCTCGCTCCGTATTGTGTCGAGGAGAGTACACCACTCTGCTAACCTACTCTCTCGTTCTCCTCCGCGAGTCTCCCGTTTTCGGGGGACCAGCGAGACTGCGCGGAACAGTTGGACATTCACTCCTCCGAGTGGACGACCATCTGTTCGAGGAGTCCTGGATTGGACCCCGGGCGACGGGTCGAGTCACAGGGGGAGCTCGTCCAACCGGCGAAGATTTAACGCTAGCGATTCCCTTGGCACTGACAGTCGGCAGTCCCTCCTCCGAGCGGACGTCCGTCTGCTGCAGTGGCGTCACAAGGGGGGTGCGGGGGGACCGACCCGGGTGCAGCACTCCGGGGGGTGTCGCGGCAGGCCACGAGGAGGTGGGGGGGGGGGTGTTGCCACGGGTCAACATCCCAGGTGCCGCTGACCCTAGTGACACCACTGGTCTGCTGAGAGCTCTTGTCTGAACTCCTGCGACGACAAGTGGCGCCGCGAGCTCGGCCCATTGGCGATGACTCCGCTCGCAATCCCATTTGGCTCTCCAGTCGGCAGGCGCTGCGGACATCTTGTGTCCACGGCTCGCTTGACCGCAGTACCTTGTTGAGGACCCCAGTTTCCCAATAAACGCTGTTGTTGGATACAGGGATCATCGCTATTGGCACGGCGTTGGCAAACCCAGCGTAGCGACCGCCCTCGTTGGTAGTCATCAGCCGTGCGGTGGAACGGGCATCGGGTTCCCCTTTGAGCACCGGTCCTTGGAAGTAAGGGTATTTAACTCCCCTACGTTAACTCGGTTGTTGAGCAAGCCAGCTTGGGTGTGCTACCAAAATATGGCTTTTCTACTTTTTTTTTTTTTTGAGCTAGTTTATTTGGCATCCCCTTGACAACCTCTATACCTAATCCTGTATTTAAAAAGAAAAAAAAATTAGGATTTGGGCAAGAGGAAGACAAGTTTTACTAATAATAACCTTTATTTGCAGGGGAAACGTTACCCCGGGTGGCCTGCAAGGCTGAGAGAAAGGCGAGAGCCCGTGCGGTCGGGGCTTATTTACGTTTGACGTCGAAGGAGAGAAAATCTAACGCGACTCGCTGCTGGTGTTTACGCGAGGCTAGAACGTCAAGAACGAATGGAGGCGGCGGCAGAGAGACAAGAGAATAAAAGGGGCAAGGAGCTCACACATTGTAGCCTACCTCCTTTCGTAAAAAAGTAATAAAACTGCCAAAGACAGCAATTTTTGTTAAAAAACGAAGAAGCATCAAGAGCGTGCCAGAGACACTTTATTCCGCCCAAATTAGCGACGTGTGCGTATGAAATAAAACAAGAAGCGTCAATATGCCAGGAATCCGCGATTAGTTTCAGATACCGATAACAAATTGGTTTCCTAGTTTGCATTTGATGCGATCGCCTGCGATCCGGTGGGAAGGCGACATCGAGCCACCAGCCCGCAGCGGGGAGTTTCATTTCTTGAGTCCGTCGATCAAAGTTCGAACTAAACGAAACCGGCGTGTTGTCATATGCATGACAGAGCAACTTCGGAGCCGGCTACTAATAGTTCCTCAGACCACGCAAACGTCACTACGAAAACGTCCCTAAACAGTTAGCGTAAATAACACGGTTTCCTTGTCATTGCACTTACCAGGAAACTTTCTTCAACGGGGAGAAACGACAATATTTACGAGATCGTGCACTGCACCGTGTCGACGTCGCCCGCTGAAAAGAATCCGAGGGTCGAGTCTGTGGTACGCATTCTTTTCTGCGTCTCGCTGTCCCACTTGTAACAATGACGTCATCGAACCAGAGTGACGTTATTTTTAATCCGCATAAGTTTACTCCATTTCACTCCAGAGCGTCCAGAGCTAAACTTATTTCAAAATTTTCAAAAACCTACCCGCAAGTTGCTCTGTTTTGCTGGCTGTCAAGTCACTCGAATGACTCGAACCGACTTATTGCCCTTATTTCGCCCAATCATAGTTAACACGACGTCGAGTAGGTGGATAGAAGTGGGTAAATATACACTTTGTATCGGGCGGTAGCTAGCGCCAGCTGTCCCAGAAAAGGTTAATTTGGTTATTGGTTTTTTCCTGGCACCTAACGAACTGCCACTTACTGGAGGTCACCGTGCTGGAGATCCTTCACCCCAAAATAAACAATTAACCCCTCATCGGCCTAAAGAATAAACAAATTCGTTGATTTTGTGTAATATCACCCTTCCCTCCACAAATTCTCGAACCTTCTTATTTTTTCTTCCTCCGTTCTTCTATTTTCGCAAGAAAATCCTAATGTTGACCAAGGCACTGCCTGCTGCCATCAGCCCAAGTATGACTTGCAAGTGACCATCTCTAGAGGGGCTCCAGCAGCTAGTACGGCACATTTAAAATGTAGGGATGATGGATGAAAAGGAACCACTATTAAGCAAAAACAGGCAGAAAACTGCAGTACGCAAGACAACCACTCTTTCCATGGAGCCAACAGCAGTCGGCTCCGCAGAAAGAGGAAAGGAGCTGACAGCGGTTACTACTTCTCCGTTTCACCATAACTTGGCAAATGGTGAAAGGGCCACAGTGAGCCAACCAGATTGTCAAAGCACGTTACTATGTATCATCGGCGAGCATTCCTCCTGTGAGGAGTTGTATACTTGGCAAAGAGCATTTGCTCTTTACCAAGCATACTCTTGAGCTCGCGCACTTGGGCGTCCATTGGTCTCTTGTCCCATATGTTGCTTCGGAACACAAGCATGTGTCAAGATGGGTGTCCCAGACTATAGCTGTCTAACGCGAAGGATGCCGTAACAATAGAAACAGCCTGGCCATTGTAGATGGCATTCAGCTCAACACGTTGGTGGCTTCCCCCGAGCATTTTCTAGTTTCCCAAACCTGCGTGGTGAAGACAAATGTGGGACTCAAAGACAATGGACTCATTACCAAGGCCTTCCGTGCCTTGGGAACAGGCATTGGGACAAGAGATCTCCCCTTGTTTTGGATGGAGGACCCGAAGCACACTCAATGCCTTGTAAACATGCAACCAGTTAAACGCTCTGGTTCAACCATAAAATAAATGAGAGTGTAGACAAACAACAGTCTTTTGACAGCTAGGGTATCGTACAACCAATCGCCAAAAGAAAGGACGGAACAAAGACCACCGGGGCGACCCTGCTGTGGCAACCAGAAGGGGTATGCGACGCATCCCTTCTCCGCTTTTGTGCACTCACGATGTCAGCTCGTTGCTCATCGCTATTCCAGATGAAACCTCATTTTTTCTTTGTTTTTACAATGATAGCTTTACGGCAACACTTTGCAGAGATTACGACCTCGTCCGTATTTGTTGCCACGTGCGCCGAAGAAGGGAGACATTTTTTTCTCTTCGCTCTTGGCGCGAGACCAGGGAAGTCGGGTTTTCCTGTCGGCCGTGCAGCGCCAAGAGAAAAAAAACTGGGAGCCCCAGCATCCCGCCAGTAACGACGTGCCAAAGAGGGAGTCTTCCTGTCGTCTGCTTGAAAGTTACTTTCAGACATTACTCGAGTTACGCAAGCTCCCACTTTGGCTATGCGTAATATTGGATGGTTTTAGAAACTTCCACCGTGTTTACCAACTTCACGAATCACTGGTGGCAGCTGTCAATGCCATCCACGACCCCAACCAGGACGGCTATGAGAATTAACCACGTCGCACCTCCGTCCTCAAATACGTGATGGTACCATAGCACCTGCATTGAGCAACCGTGCTACAGATATTGTTTTCATTTAAATTGCACATTGTGGGCAAGAAATTCAACTTTTTGTTATGCTTGCTCTTCTGTCAAAACGTATTGAGCAGTGTTTAAAGAAAAACTTTGTTTCGTAATATATCAGTGTTTTTAACCATTCTCCCACAGATAACCATAGGACACGGGCAAATGCATGCCGGTCTGGGGAGCGAACCGGACACCATGCGCGGCATGTGCTAAAAACTGGCAGTACCGGTCGGAGTTCAGACATACGGTAACCCCAACATTGAGAGAAGTAATGCCAGGTCTTGCACCCAGCTTGAGAGTAAGAGACACCAGAAAATGCTGGCATACGTACTGCACGGCCATTCAAACTCTTTTTCCTCCTGGCCGTCGTCGCCGTTTCCATTGCTCTCTAGAGAATGCACGTTCAAACTTAGCTTTGCGACGCCAGCCACTGGCTGAAAACAAACCAGAACAAAAAACAGAGGCTGTTGGCTTGCAAAACAAAAACGGCAGGGGTCTCACAAAAAAGGAAGAAGAGAGAGAGAGATGTGTTGAAAAGAAAGGGAGCCTGGAACTTAAAAAGGAAGAAAATAGCTTAATCACAGCATCAAGCATAAGAGGGACAATCTCTTTTTTTATTATTAAGAAGACAAGCAACTGACTAAAATTGTTCCAAATAGACACCACTCTACAAGCAAATCCAATCCGTGGACAAATATGAAACTGCAGTGGTGCAGTTGATGCAAGAGGTAACAAATGTGACAAAATCAGAGAACTGTGAAAAACGAATCCAAGATCTCCGATGCTAAATGCTGTGGTTGCAGATGTATGGCATGGGCCAAACAGTCCTAACCCACTTTAATTGAACTTCGAAAATCAGTTTCACATGCTCTGGCACTGTGATTTACCACTAAGGTATGGCAGTGTGGTGCATTTCTCTTGTGAAAATGTCAAAGGGAAAACATGCTCCAACCATAAGTTACAAATAAAAACCATAATTTTCATGTGGACTAACATGGAGTTCACGCTCTTACCACGCCAATGTGAAAAAAACAAAACAAATCTTGCCGTGGGCCATTGGGACGTTTGATGTAACGAAAAGAGAAAAGAAAGAGAATAAGACCAATTCGATTTTGCTCTCATGTCCTGTTTTGCCCAACAAAATACCCCAATGGCCCAAGTGCTTTACCATTTTTACTTTAAAAGGCAACCCCTGAAAAGAAGAAAAAAATGTTTTCTTTAAACAGTCTGGTTGGGACACAAGTGTCAAAAAATAAAACTTAAAGGGGCTGTGCAACAATTTTCAGACTTTGGCCAATTAACTGCGGAAATTAATCTGCGTCACCTACGGAACGAAAAGCAGAAAACCATATTTTCTTGCGAGCGCTAGTTCTTATTTTTAAAAAAGTGAAACAAATCGAAGGTCAAAGCGCCTCTCAACTCTCCACGTCGACTTTCAAGTGACGTACTCTGGGGGCTCACGTGGTTTCCCCTTGGATCCTCTCTTCAGAGACCCCCTGCCACTTCCTCCGCGATTGTCGCTTTTTAAAGGATTAGCCTCGTCGAAGGTCGCGCCACGGGGCTGACGGCGAGTGTAGCAGCGGAGGGGGACAGGTTTTTTTTACTTCCGCATATCCCCCAGAGACTCCGTCCTTTTAGTTCCCGTTACCCCAACAGGCGGCTGCAGATCGACAAATAATTTGTTTTTTGCTTTGCGATTACGCAGCAGAATAGCAGTTTTTCGAGGAAAGGCGATGCGTTTTTGGTCACTTGGGCTTGCATAAACAATATAGAAAATGCAAACTGCCAATTCTTTCAACATTAAAATCATTGCACTGCCCCTTTAAGCGAAAAAAAAAAAATTTAGAGCAATATTGACGGCGCGATACGCGATTTAGTGGGCAGTCACGTCCTTTCCACTTGTTTTCTCTCTCGGCATTTCGGGCGCGTGGACAAGAGGTAGATCGGCTTCGCCTTCACGACAGAGATGATCATTCCGGAATGACTTGTGACGTCATGGACTCTCGCACAGAATTTTAAATAAATCTCTTGCTGTCAAAATTGCTCTAAATGTTTTTTTTTTTTTTTTTTGTGGAAAATTTATATTTTGATTTGCACGTCCCAGCCAGACTGCTAAAAAAAAAAAACTTTTTTTTTCTTTTCAGGGGTCCTTTAGCTCCCTACTCAGCCATAAAAAATTTCAGTTTTTATTTTGTATTTTTTGAGCACAGTAAGTTCTTAAAGGCATACTTTAACGAAATTTGAAATATACCCGTCGTGTTCAAAAATAGGTTGAATATGACCTACAACATCTGTAAATGACAATCACACGTTTGTATTTGGAGCCTGGTGGCTCTATTTTTCGTTATAAACGGCCCACTCTGGCAAGGGCTCGGAGAAAAGCCAGCGGAGAGCACGCGACATCTAACGGAATCGTGACGTAGTTCGTCTCGAGACGAGCAAAGCCACGGCGAGGCTGACATCGAGAGGATGGTCTAGTCGTTCCAGTCACCGAAGCGGCTGCTTTTGTATGAATTTTGAGTGACGGGTTAATCTTCTATAATCTTGTAGGGGGACAATAGCTAATTCTGGAACACACAAAAGGAATTCTCCGGAAGAGGAGAGGTCCTCCTTCCTTTCTTCTCTCGTCGTGGTCGGAGGCGAGACAGTTACCGTCACTAACTTTCAAGGTTTCTAGACGGGCATTACAAACAAAGTGTTAGCAACATCCACCAGGTGCTTTTTGCTAATCATTTAATTTGTTTTAAAATTCCTTTTCGTGACTTTTTTAACAAGATATTGGTGTGTTCGATGTGATACTGCTCCTTTGAACACATAAAAACCAAAAAATAAGCTCCAAAATTTTGTTCTAGTATCCCTTTAAAGGGGCCCTGCAATCACATTTAAGCGTCTACCTTTTTTGCAGTTTCCACGTCTCTTGGGGTTCGGGCAAACCAGCGGGCACGGAGAGAGTAACTGAATATCAGTGCGTCATATTTTAACCAAACGCGGACACCTCCTCCAACTACGGGGGTGACCCGTAGTGCCGAAAGCGCACAATATGCGAGGCCTTCAGTCCTGGGATTACTACTGGTCAGAGCCGCTAAAAAACAAAATATAAGTGGTGCGAACCGTTTCAATTATTTGTGAAAGTATTTTTTATTCAGTATTTTAGATCAGAAAGGAAACAAATGCAGTTTATAAAGTACGGAAACAAGAAATGACCCGTCGACATACCCGCCACCAAGCAGTGGAAAAGGCGGCGCATACTAGAAAGGGTAGTGAGGTCAAGCGCCGTTGAGCGGCGAGCGTAGAAAGGTCCTGGATGTACAGTCGTGTGCGATATGAAGGTGAACGCCGGGCCGTTGACCGCTTCGTGCTATCAGCGCCATGACGCGGCTGTCGTGGCAGCCACGTCATGGCGCTGATAGCACGGAGCGGTCGACGGTCCGGCGTTCACCTTCATATTGTTGGCGTGTGTACGCGGCAGCGCTATACGGGCTCGAGGATCCGATTGGTTCCGAGCGTTCCTGTGGTAAAGTACTACCGAATCGCCGGTGTGGCGATATGTTCTACTAAGAACTGAAGAGCCAGGACAGTAAACGTCTTTACTTCATGATGGCGGATGCCGAACCGCCGCTCGCGCGCTCGGCTCCAGACGAGTGTGTGTTGTCGTCGTCGTCTAGTCTCAGTTCCCATCATATCTTCCCCCTTAAAAAGAAGACTGGAAGGGCTGAACCTTTTTTCTCTCTCGAGTCGAGCGCCGTGGAAGTGGCACAGGAGTTGAGAGGGGCTGGTTCTGGTTTGTTGAGGGACTTTTAGATGAACTTGGGTTTGCGGGAATTGAATCAGTGGGATTCGGGCCCGGCAATGGGTCCAGCCCTCGTTCAGCTAGAGCTCCGTCGCAGGGAACCTTGCTCTCTGATGTAGGTGTGAGTGGCGCCTCTGGGTCAGTCCATTCCGGAAACCCAAGTGGGTCTTCTGTGTGCCGCTGGCGAACTTGGTCAAGATGGCGACGCACCAGGTCCGAATTGGTTTGTATCGTCACCATGCGTGAGCCTTCTGCGCTCTTGACGATTCCCGGCAGCCACTTTGGACCCTTACCAAAGTTTCGGAAGAATATCTTTCTGCCCGGTTTAAAAAATGGCGGAGTGGGCTGACTCCCGCCCTGTGCAGTCAGCTCTGACCTCTTGTCCGGAAAGCACGTGTCCAAACGTGACCGGATCTGGTATCCCAAAAGTAACTGGGATGGAGACTTGCCCGAAGTCACAGGCGTGCGCCGATGATTGAGAAGCAGTCGACACAACTTGACGTCCAGTGTGGACCCGCTTGTCTTCTTCAAGGCATCCTTAACAGTACGTACGGCTCGTTCGGCGAGGCCGTTCGATTGTGGATGATAGGGGGCCGTGCGGTAGTGCTCCACGTGGTTCCTCTTTAGGAACTGAGAGAACTCTTCACTTGTAAATGGTGTACCATTATCCGCGACGACAGTCCGTGGGATTCCAAAACGGCTGAAAAGCTCCCGAAGCTGTCGGATTGTGGAATCCGACGTTGCATGATTGGTAGCTGTAGCTTCAATCCACTTCGAGTATGCGTCGATGACAATCAGGATCATCTTTCCTTCGACGGGCCCGGCATAATCCAAGTGTAACCTCGACCAGGGTTCACCGGTCACCGGCCAATCGACAGGTTTCTGCGCTGCTGGCATAGAAGCCGCTTGAATACATGTCTCACATCTCTGGGTGAGGTCTACGATAGCCGAGTCCAATGAGGGCCACCAGAACTTTGAGCGAGCAACCGTCTTCATGGCCGACGCACCTTGGTGGGTCTCGTGGAGGAGCTTGAGGACAGCTTCGCGAGCCTTTTTTGGAACAACGACTCGGTTTCCCCAGTACAGCAAGCTGTGATGCACCGAAAGCTCGTCTTTCCTGCTCCAGAAAGGTCGAAGCCCCTCTTGCTCCATCAATAGCTTCCGCGGCCATCCGCGCTGGATATAACTGATGACGCTACGCAACGTCTTGTCTTCCGCGGTCATCTGTGCCACCTGTTTCGCTGACACCAAGCCGTTATCCAGCTCCTCCAAGGAAGCAATTATTTCAGGAAGATCCTCCTCTTGTAGTTCCTGCGAATCCGCTTGAAGGGGAAGTCTACTCATGGCATCGGCATTGGCGTTGCTTGTCCCTGGCCGGTACTCGATGCGATAGCTGTATCCACCCAGGATGATGGCCCACCGTTGAATTCTAGCCGCAGCCATCGTCGGCACGGCCTTGTCATGATGAAAGAGACCTACCAAGGGCTTGTGATCTGTAACCAGAGTGAACTCCCTACCCAACAAGTAGTCCTTAAACTTCGTGACAGCGAACACCAATGCCAAGGCTTCTCGTTCCAGTTGGGAGTAGTTCTTCTCAGCACTCGTCAGTGTCCGAGAACGAAAACCGACAGGCTTCACTTCGCT